ACCTGTAACGATCCTGGCCCTGTGACATCTTGCGTTGTCATCCTGGAAGATGAAACGGCGGTCATGACGTCGTGCGAACGGCACAATATGGACTGCCAAGATGTTGTCCCGGTAGTACTGGCCTGTAACACGCCCTGCAACAACATGTAAAGCCGTTCTTCCAGCAACAGTGATGCCTCCCCACACCATAACAGAACCACCCCCAAATCGATCATGTCTGATGACGTTAACGTCTTGGAAGCGCTCGTTTCGACGACGCCACACCCTCCTACGTCTGTCCAAAAAATCAACAGTGAACCTTGACTCATCTGAAAACATCACATTGCTCCAGCGTCGATTATCCCAGTGTTGACGATCCCTACACCAACGACGTCTTGCCTGAATGTGATGATCTCTCAAACAAGGGATCACGCGAGGACGTCGGGCGCGAAGGTGACCCCTATGCAGTCGATTCCGAATCGTCTGGCCACTCACTCTCACACCAGTGTCTGTTTGAAGACGAGCGCTGATCTGATTTGCTGTGATGACACGATTTCTCAAGGCCAAGGTACGGATAAATCGATCCTGGGCTTGAGTTGTCGCCCTTGGTCGACCTGAGCGTGGTCTGTCCTGTACAGATTGTGTATCACGGTATCTGGACCATAGCCTGCTTATGACAGACTGAGAAACATTCATCGTCCGCGCCACAACCGCCTGTGTTGTGCCGATCTGTAGCATGCCAAGGGCACGTAACCTTTCATTTTGGGTAAGCCGACGCATATCAAAATTTGTTTTCTGGTCACTAAAACAATTAAACTGATGTTTCCACCCTGGAATTCAATGCCACAATGACTGTAACATTCAAAGTCAGAGTTGTGCAAATCTTGGGTTGGACCCCCATGATGATCCCAAGCATCACCTGCATTCCATGCAGTAGCTATTGGTGCGTTTGGGCGTCACATGTAACTGGAAATGTTTCTTCTGTTAGGTTCTATAGTGACTTTTTTCGTAGTCATTTGCATATTTTAGTATTATGCCCCCAAAATCAAATATCCCCTACTTTTTTTGAATAGTATATATATAGCTATTTTGTTTTCATTTTATTTATTTGTGTTATATGCTTGATAACGACTTGTGAAATCTTGTTGAAACGTCGCAGTGAAATAAACCACAGTAATTGTTATCCATAAATACACTGAAAAAACCCTTGTGTTGGATCTCAACACAAGAACTTGTGTTAAAAATATTTAACACATGTTTGTGTTGTATTGCATTGCAATGACACAAGTTTGTGTTCTTTTCAATGTCTTAACACAAACTTGTGTACATTTATAAAATCTTATGTGGTTTTTTTTTTCCATATAATTAATTACGTCGACATTAAAGATAACATTTATTATGTTCCTTTATCACATTATGTTTTTTATTTATTGAGAAAATCTGAATGGGATTGGGGAACTGGATTAGGGATCTGGCCTAGCCTATATGTAAAACCACTCTTCCTGAATTTGAATGTCGAGTAATTCACTTGATTTATTTTTTAATATTTCTAATTATCTAAAAGGATATTATATTAATTATTACAAACATTAAGTAGAAATCGCAATGTATGTATCGTGCGATGCATTTAATATCTCTTTTAAAACAACGTATTTTATAACAGTATACTGATATAAGAGATCAAAGTTTTAGTCAATTATTATCTAAATATAAACTATTTATTTAATTAGATATAATAAAAGATTATTCTGATTCTACTCTTTGTTTATTTTCACATCTTGTCTCAGACAATATACAGAGACAGGTTATTACAATGTCTGCATTTGGAAGTGTCTGATTGATATCGCCCCAATAAACTTGACACATCAAATACAATAACAATTGTGTTATATCTACGTTTTAAAAAAATGTTTGAATGGGCGTGGAAATAGTCGAGTTAATCTTTTTATTTAATTTAATTGGTTCATTAATCGAAATTGGAAATTTATTCTTACCTGTAAATGACCAATTAAAATGAATTACTCTTAAAACAAAGAAAGAAATATTTATTGAAGTAATTTTGCGGTATTAAACCCTGTGGTACAGCAAATGTTAACTGTATTATTAAGCATTAGTATCGAAAAAAAGTGATATTGTTGTGAAAAAAGTTTGTTCAGAAAATAAGAACATCAGGTTTGTGATTTTGGTATTTTTTAATACAATGTATTTATAACGCAAATTTTTCGTTTCGGTTAAAACAAAATATACGTCCATTTTAATTGGCCGAAGGATGTGTGACTAATAGAAATATGGGGGGCGGACAAACTGACCAAACAGTATATTTCGAGGTATTTGAGGTAAGCTAATTTAATATTATATCATAACTGCATGTGCATAATTGTGTTCTGTTTGATTAAATATTCAAAAAATCATTCTTAGGATACAACCTCGACACCAGTCCGCCCTGAATTGCAATGTTTGTTTTGTGTTCTGGGCGCCATTTTGAATATAATACAATCCAGCGATAGTGTAGTCTAATTCCTTTAAAAGGGAATCCGAATTTGTTAATTTTCTGCAATATCACTTCGGTGGAAGCGGACGTTAAATAAAGCTATTTCACGTACAAAGACCTACAATAAAATCCAGGTGAATTGGCAAAAATATTCATGTATTTTCTTGATGAAGAGTAGCTATTTCAATATGTAAATGCCCAGTCATCTTAGACAAATAATAATTCCAACTTCAAATCAGTTGTATTTATTCAAATCATACCATGAAGAATTGTATTTTTCCACTTGCATAATAATAAAAACTTGACTTTTATTATTTTATTTCTTCAGGCCAAGAGCATGGAAAATTGGTAATTGCCTTGTATCACTGCTAACTATAAATCACAGGGAGCCTTGGGCAGAAATGATAATATGGTTCTCAGATATGTTACTGTGTACAGACTGAACAGAAAATATTTATACACTTGCTATTACAGTACTGGCCAAATTAATAGCAATTTTTTCTAAAAACGTTGCAGAAGTAACTCACTAAAATTGAAGTATGAATAAAATCATACACCGTGAATATATTGAACTGAATATTCTTACACATAACCATAGGCGTACGGGGAAATTTTTGACTGGGGGGCGGTGGTGGTTGGTGCCCCAAAAATGTAGTTAGGTTCTTAGTATGTTACATAATAATAATAAATTCGCTGTTAAATTGGACACATTCAAGAACACAATATTTTTTTATACAACTTTTACAAAGTACAATTGTGTGCCCAAATTTTCCCAGCATTTGGTTCCCAAAATGGGGGGGGGGGGGCGCCGCCCCCAGCCCCCCCGCCCAGCTCGTACGCCTATGCACATAACCATATTGACATCTACTTCACATTGCATGGTTGGTCGACGCAACGCCGTGTATAGATAAAGTTGCGACAACTGTGAAGCCAGGAATTTCATATGACGTCATGCAAACTTATTATCTATTTATATGACCTATTATATTGTTGGATGTCATAGATTTCAGCGAATAAGTGTATATAGGACATAAAACATACATTTTTTAAACGAAAAGTATAGCTGAACATACTATTATTAGTATTATACAACAATCGCACATTATTGTTATATAGCCTTATTCTATAAGAAAAATCAAAATAAAAGATACACTAGATAAAAGTACTATTAAACCAGGGGCGGATCTAGGAATTTTGAAAAGGGGGGGGGGGCTGCAAAATGAAGGCATTGACCGCGGAGACGGGGCTTGCCGCTGAGGGGGCAGGGGGGGCCCCAAGAAAATTATCCGTCATTTCCTTGCATCTGTAGCCATTCCAAGAGCTATTTCCCAGACTGGTGTGTTTGAGTCGATGGTTCGAGTCATTTGGGATCCCTACAACGGGTTGGGAACTGACATATTTGAGTCTGAGAAAAGGCACTTTCAGCCGTAAAAAAGGGCACTGTTGAAAATTAGGGGGGGGGGCGCCCCTCGCGCCCCCCATTGAATCCGCCTCTGATTAAACATATTTAACTTGCATTCGCTTTTAAAGGAGCTAAATCGCTAATATTTGGGAACTAGAAATTGTCACAAATGGGTCGCACTAACCTTGATGTTCACAAATACGTAAGACGATGTGAACATCAACTAAAAAGATATGTAATGTGATTCAGCTGCAAGGTGATATATGCATATATTATTATTATTATTATTATTATTGTTCGATTTATATAGCGCTTCATTACACGTGAAGTGTTTCTAAGCGCATATCACAAACATATACTTCAAACACACAAAAACAATCAAAATCAGGAGAACATAATTAAACACAGCTGCCTGTTAGGCGCTATTATTCAAAGGTTTATATCCAACAAATCAACCGGCTAATCTCTATATTGAACTCAGTCGAGGTATTACCTGATGAACACCTACACCAAGTAGAGTTCAAAAATAAAAACGAAGTTTAAAAGAATCAACTTCATTAACAAAAATTAAACAATCAAAAACTAAACTGATAAATCAAATTCAAACGAAACAAATAAAACAAAGAAAATGAAAAGAGCAGTTCATTACCATTCTACATTAACAAAATAAAGGAAATCAACTTGTGAAAATTTGTTAAAAAAACAAAAAAAACATCAGTTGTCTTATTTTACACATAACTTGTTATCAGTATTAGAAGAGATTACACACAGACAACTGAGGGAGCCACATTTATTTGTACGGAAAATCATGTTTAAGCTTGTAGACCCTCTAAGGAACACAATTTCTATCCGATATCCATTTTAATCTCGGCCATCCGATAATCTAGAGAGTTGCTTATAGGCTTGTCATGTGAATAAATGTTTAAATAGTTTATCTAACATTTTGAAGACAAAAAGACCTGCCATAACATCTTTAACGACAAGATACCATCAGGCATTTAAATTTTTGTTGTGCTCAGTTCAATTACGAAACAACTGTTTAATTCAATTAGTACATATTTTTAACAGGTCAGACGTTTGAATGACTAATGACATACATCAAAACAAAAGACTAAACACGACACTAACCCTCGTGATTTTCCTGTATCGGGGAAAGTTGGGATTCGACAACTGACAGCTCCCTCGAAGCAATCCTTTAAACTTTCTTCTGTGGTATCGTAGGACAAGTTTCTGGCTGTTAGGGTTTTACCTTTAGGTCCACCCCCCTGGCTTCTACGATCTCCACCTGAGGTATTCATATATGCAGCATAGATAATTAAAACTTCTATTCAAGTTAAACCAACTGTATCTATTTATGTCTTACGTCGAGCTGAATACATTTTATGATTTATTGTCATGAAAACATCTATTGGTGGTTAACAGTGTGTAACTAAAAACTAAAATTGGATCTTATTATTGCCAATGATATAATGTACCTTGAATTTTTTATCACGAAGTCTATCGCATCCAGATATTTAAAGCGCGTTTACAATATATTCATTTTTTTGTATCGTAAAATTCATCTTCATTTGACGAACTACACCCAAACTACAGTCAGTGTAAACACGGTTTGGAGACTGTATCTGAACTACAGGGTACATCGAACTACAGTGTACATCATGCTTAAGAGACACTATCTAATATCCAACAGGAAAAATGACGATTAATTTAATATCCGCCAATTGGTGTTGCTGCTATTTTGTATTTTCAAAATTTATCTTCAAATTCAGAGACATCGAAAACCATATAAAGGACATTGCAAAAGTCATATCTTACGTATCTTAAGAGGTGCCCTTTTAGTCTACCAAATTTATGTTTTTTTTGTTAAATTGCCTTATACATGTATTACCAAATTCGGTAGCCCTTTTAAAAGAAATGCCCGGCACCACATGGAAAATACATTTCTTTAATTGATGTTTGTCAAATTCGATTTCCGCACATTTCGCGTACATAACCACGATATAATGGTCGAATATTACGTACATCAGATAAACTATTTTTAAAGCCCAAAACTATTCAACTAGTCTCTTTTAGTTATCAAGCACCTGTTTTATGGGATAATCTACCATTTAGTTTAAGATCTTGTACATCTCTATATTCTTTTAAAAAAACAACTTAAATCACATTTATTTAATGAGGCTTTTAACTGACTCTGTATACAATTGTTAACATGTCCATAATCTTGTTGTTTATTTATGATTACATTGTCACTTTGTAAAGTGCCCCTGAACATGTTTTATGAAAGGGCGCGCTATAAATATGCTGTAATAATAATAATAATAATAATAATAATATTACCAAATTTGGCGGCCATTATGAAAGAAACGCCCGGCACCATATAACAAATACTTCTTTTTTTTAATTTGACGTTTGTCAAATTCGATTTTTCGGCACATTTCGCTTGCATAACCACTCTGTGTTTGAGGAATTTAAAAAGAAATCATTTATAATCCAACGAGTAAATAGTAAAACACACTGATTACGAGATATCGCTCTCAGAAAATTCCCCGATTTTGGGTATGATTTTGTTTGATATATTTATCACTGAACCAAACTGCATTGGTTTCTTTTGCATTTTTTTTTAGGGTGAAACGTTATATTATCCCTCAACGTCTAATACTGCAAGAAAAAAACAAATTTTGGTATGTAAACCTGTATGAAGCCATGACGTCATAGCTTTTATGGCGTCATAATTGGGACCCAAAATGGCGCCTGGAAATGAGTTGTCGTAACTTTCCCACAGTCTACTCACTCATGTGCTCATCGTTGTATACCAACTATCGTTGAAAAAATCAATTTACGTCGATTTTTGAACATTTTAAAAGCCGTAGTTCGATTCGGCGCCCAAGAAAAGATATAAATCTACACCAAAAACATGGCAATCAATCAAGTTGAAGCGTTTTGGCGTAAAACATCTGTTTAGGCGAGATGACGTGTTTTTGGTGTACATGAGTAAGCAATAATGCTACCTGACTAAAATACCCCCCCCCCCCTCTTGCATTCGCATGTAGTCATACATATGAGTCTCAAAATAATATAATATATTGTTAAATTATGCTCTTTTCAACTCTATACCCATGACTGGTGTACCAAGTTAAATCCACATCAAAACCCCATTTGTCGATAAGTGTATTTATAATAATCACTTGAACATCCTTGGAGAATTATATCTATTTAGTGAATATTAATACCAAAGAAAGAAAACAACTCTAAATTCTGAATATAAAGTCATCAAATTCTTTTACAGATCTTATTGTGGAAACCCAAAAGTTATATGTCACCATTGCCTTTTTAATCACATTTTTGTTTTTAATGTCAAATACCAAACCATCTCTAATATTGTTTCATTATATAGAATGCAGTGTAATCCTAAACACTAAAGATTTGGCCTGAAAATTTGAAATAATATAGAGGGATCATCAATAATTAATAGTAACATTCGATAATTATAAAAATGTATTATTGTAGGATGAAATCAACCTTTATTTTTAAACATTTAGTGAACATTTCGAATGTTAATGCCTCTTTTATATAAAATGGTTTTATTAATTAATCAATTTTTGTTTTACAAATTTTTAATTTTCTCCATTTTGTTTGATTTTTATGCTATATTTATTTTATCTATCTATAATTATTTGCCTGTGCTTTATCTATTAGTTCCCATTTATATACTGTAGAAAATTTTGAATTCCTAATCTGTTAAAGGGACTATTTTTTCTTAAAAGTATTTCAATTTAGTGCATTATTAATGTCTTTAGTGCTTGGTTTGGTTGATATTAAATTTAGATATATTTAAAATGTATGTTTTGGGACCATGGGGTAGGGATATTGTGAACATATATATTATATTCTCAGTTCTTTTTAAGGTTAATTGTAAAAAAAAATTAAATAGCTTTTTTTGAGGGGTGGGGGGATATTGTTATTATTGAACACAATTTTATTAGTATTGAAATTAACTTTTTTGATTAATATTCCAAATGTCTCGGTGCTTTATTTTTCAATTTAAATAGCTACTTTTTATTTAATAATTGGGGATGGGGGGTGGGTATTTTTTCATTGTATAACACAATTTTATTAGTATTGGAATTAACTTTGTTTATTAACCTTCGAGATGTCTGTATTGGTATTAATTAGGCATTAATTTATTTTTTCATATCATTTATTGAATAAATAATAATTTAACAAACAAAATTATTATGTCATTTATCAATAATTACAGTTTAAACAGAACGAATGGAAGGGGTTGCATTCGAAAGGTTGTTATACTGGATATAAATTGGTAAAATACAACACAAGTTTTTGTTATACACAAGTTTGTACGAAACAACACGAGTTTCAGAAATTTCAACACAAGTTTCAGAAATTTCAACACAAGTTTCAGAAATTTCAACACAAGTTTCAGAAATTTCAACACAAACAAGTTTCAGAAATTTCAACACAAATAATGTGTAGATTTTCACACAAGTTTTGTGTTGTTTCAACATTTAACACAAGTTTTGTGTTGTTTCAACATTTAACACAAGTTTTGTGTTGTTTCAACATTTAACACAAGTTTTGTGTTGTTTCAACATTTAACACAAGATTGTGTTGTTAAATAGAGACACCTAACTTGTGTTGAAAATAACACAAGTTTGTGTTGTTTCAACACAAGTTTTTTTTCAGTGTAGTGTGTTATTTGATTATGTTCCAATTACTAAATGCCATTTAAAGAATAAGGTTAGATACTCCTAAATTTGTTTTCGCAAACAAAACCGCCTCTGTGAAATTATCTGTCATAGGCGCCGCCATATTGAATAATTAGGGAACTTTTTTGTGATTCGGCTCTGATTAGTTTGACATCTTTCATACACACAACGGCTAAATAAACATATTTAATTTCATTCAATATGACAATAGAAGAGAAATAAATACTTCTAAAAACTTCTAAAAGCATACTCCGTGTTTTCGACTAAAATCGTCGATGTAGAATTTAAAATGTCGGTTAATTAGCTTAGGGCCTATTCTCAGCCGGAGCTAGCTGTAGATAGGCAGCCTAAGTTTGGGATGACACTCGCCCTGTACGTTCAGGAACCGTCCTATTGAATCCTTATCGAAAAAGAATCGACCCCCAGTCAATTTTACTTGGTAACTTTTTCTGCTAAACGGTCGTGTGTCAGTCTGTAAACTCTTGAACAATGTAAAGGAACATTTTCGTGAGAAAAAAGACCTTGCTTACCTCGCTAGAGTAAGTATGTGCAAAAGAACACGCTGTTAAAAATAAGTCCCCTTCTACTAAATGGCTTGACAGAAGCCATTGAAATCTGAATATAGGGTAATGCACAAATTTACATAACTTGGCCATATGACGAAACGAATATTTATGTAAGCTGGGGGAAAAAAATTGGAATCTTTTAGATTGCAATGCCTTCAGCCAAGCGTTTAAAAAAAGGGGACATATTTTTAACAGCCCCCAACTAGTATACATTTTTTGCCAGGATGATACCTAGCAGAATACTAATAAACTGCGGATGCAAGAAATTGATTTTTGGTCAAAAAACGTTTTATGGGGCTAAAAATTGTTCCTGCAACAGCAGTTTATCGCCTCTTCCATATGTGCTAGGTAGTATTATTCTACGCATCCTGGCACAATTTTTAAATTTTGGGACCATGAGAACAGTGTGCGCTAATCTATCCTAGTTGGGGGCCGTGGCATTTTGGGCGTGTCTGTTAGGAGTAATCCACCGCACAAACTGTCCGGCAGTGGTCATTCATGATTTCTATGGTGGTACTGAACAACTTCAACGCAGTTTTAGGTGGTACAGATTTCAGCTAATCTAGCTTGGCTGTGGTCTGGAAACTCCAGGGATACTCCACCACTACAAATGTCTGGCAATTACATAGCTCTGTCAGGGGTACCCCACTACTAAAAATGTCTTTTAGGTTGACACCTTGGGCTCCCGCTCTATATATCAAGTTTCAGGGGCCATAATTCATGAAGTTATGGTCTGATACATACCAATATCGTCAAAATTAGATAAAAATTGTGACATGTAGAGTATACACAAACAAATTGTGGACGGACGTCTGGATGGACAGGGTCGATGGCATAATATGTCGACATGAAAATGTGGGCGTATAAAAAAAATCTGTTCAAACTGTAGCCTTTATTACTATGGCTGAAATGATATATGTTCCCAACTGGTTCAAACAAATTTTATGAAAGATCATAATTTGAGTACAAAATTAAAGTGATCCCACAAAACATGAACTTGATCTGTAAATCTGCTAATTACAGCAGTCTACTAAATTTCAATCAAATACCTGTATCTCAAAGATTAAAAAAAGGATGGAAAAAAGGACGGATAAGGCGACAGAGATCTAAATCTATAATTCCCCCAGTTTTACTGGTAAGGGATTAATTAAACAACCAACGAAAGTCAAATCTTTTGTTTTATAAAATTTATTCAGTAAATTTACTTTTTACGTATGAAAGTTCTTTTTCCATTCTGATGAAATTCTCTCATACGCTTATTATTGATACCAAGCTGTGCAGCTCTACTTGTGACATCATTCATCGCAAATGGTGAAGAACCGGCTACATAATCTGGATTTAAAGCATCAACTTTGATCTGTGAGCGTCGTGTTGGGTGTTGCTGTGAAACAGGTTGATCTTCTACTAAGATAGGATTATTAGCATGTCTACCAGTTCTTGGCATTCCCAAATTTTTCTGCAAGGACAAATTATGTTACAGTGCTAGTTTTAGTATTCTAAATAGTTTTTATTTAAAAACTAAGATGCATCATTTGCAAACAAGAATATAGTGAAAAATGAATCTCTGATAGGAGTATCAGTCAAAAATGGTTCAATTCCGTTCATTATTTACATGCACAAAGACATATGTGGAATTGAAATTTCACTGATCTATGCTGCCCGTTATGCAATAAGCCTGTTGTGATGTCCCCGAGAATTATTGATAGGCCTTTTTTAAATCTGATTGAAACTGGGACATTATCTTGAGATGGTATTTTGATTTGTTTTCTTAATTAAATGCAAAATAATAAATCTTAGTTCATATTAGCTGGATTAAGCCGTTAGAAATATGTAATTTTAGTGAAATATGCGATGACTTTAACTTATACAATAACATTAAACACACAAAGTACTCCAGCAGAGTAAGTTTTAAAAAATCCATATCAAATTCTGATCAAAGTATTAAATGTTACACGTCAGAATTCCATAATTACTAGATGACACTCATTAATTACTTGCACATTTATCTTTTCATAAAGCATCGAGCAATCGAATTACTTATCACTCTGCTTAAGCTTAGCAGATAATGCTCATTATCAAACTTAGTCAAAGCATAGATGTAATGAACAGTTTCAATCCTCTCACTCAAAAAGAATCAAATTTACTGTGTCCCAAAGTATTGACAAATCAAACTGCTTATGTCTGCTTAGCCTAAGCATAAAATGCTCATCATTAAGAAGTAAAATGAAATGAAATGGGGTTTAATGTCCCACTGTTCTGCTCCGACTGGGCTAATGAACACGGGCTTACACGATGCAGTGTGCTCTCAGGGAAATTTTGCCTGGACGGCAGTGCTACAGCCTACTCCTTTATCGAATTCCAACTGTCAAGGGATCTTTTACATGCATGCCAATGTATACATGGGACCTTGGTTTTTCGTCCAATCTGAACGACCAGACAGCTGTGCTTGTCAGGCCCTCCATCCTGCACCACTGACATGGAGAAGCCACGCCAGAAAATCCTGATGAACTTTCTCGGCAATCATCATTAAGACATTCACCTTATGACCATCTACACAAAGTTTTAACATTCTACCTCAATTAAAAGCCATGTTCATGTGTCCTAAAACTTGTGCCCAGACACACAATATGGACAAACTATTCTTAATAAGCCCCTGCTATCTTTAGTCTGGTACAAAAGGTCTTAGTCTTGTGACACAAGTACTCTAAAGGTGTCTTTTCTAGATAAGTTGTCTTTTCTTATCTCTTTCTAATGAAGAATTGAGATATTTTTAACAATGTTCTTTATAAATGTAATTTCTTACATTCATTCCTTTTGTGCAATTTAATTTCCTTGCCGAGTAGAAATATTTAATAGAACCATCTTCTTCTACTGTCATTGACAAACGTTTTAATGTTTTATTACCACAGTGTGGACAGAACTGTTTATGTAATATCTTTGTTATTCTGAAAACAAAAATGAATACAAAATTTAGCAAGACAACGCTTACTGAGAAATCCCAAAACAAATAAAAGACATAAGCACAAAAGGATTTGATGCTAACTTTTATCGTTAACAAGATTCTACAAAGTTAAGCAAAGAGAAACAAGGGCCATAACTCTAGAAGTAATTAAACGGAAACATATACAAAAGTTAAATGCTAATATAGTCTGTAAATTAGGGAAGAGGGAGAGGTGGGAGCTACGGTGATACACAGCTACAATTCGATGTGAGAATACAACCAGCGGTTGCCAGGCAAGATACGCCCACATTTTGCAAGAGATGGATAGAGAACAAGCTAAAAACAAAAGTGATTTTTTGTACAGTTTCATTTCGATTTTTCCTAAATTCAAATTCAACCTTCATTATGGTGGAATGGTGATATATAAATGTTTTTTAAAATCGGATAAAAATTGTGACCTCTAGAGAATCCACAAGCTAAAAAACACGATTTTTCGTAAAATCAGGAGCCATAATAGAGAAATTTGAACAAAATCTGTTGATTATAGAAACCTGTAGAGTATTTACAGACAAAAATTAACAAAAAATGGTACCACACCCATGGGGATCAGAACATGTACCAAAATAAATAGTTGTTATCCTTACAGGAATAAATATGCCAAGTTCCAAGATGATCCATTTTGAATTCCAGTCTGTAGACAAAAAAACACAAAACTTGGGTGTGGCTCTGCCCCTGGCGGTTGGACATGGAGCAATATAAATAGGTACAACCCTATGATAGATCATTCTGACAGACAAAGTATTAACAAAAAGTGGTGTTTCTGTCAGATTTATATTTAAACAGATTTTAAAATTGAATACAAATTGTGACATCTAGAGTGTCCAAAAGCTAAAAACATGATTTTCCGAACAATCAGGTGCCATAATCCAGGAATTTATGTTCCGATATGAGTGATATAAACATACATCAAGATCAAACAAAAATTGTGATTTTTAGAGGGTCTACAACCTTAGCATTTCATACTTTTAGACTATTTGCGTTCCGATTTTCAGGTTATTTGAACTCAAATATTGTCATGGTGTAACGGTGATACATTTGAACGATTTTTTAAATAAGATAAAATATGTGAAATCTAGAGGGACAACAAGCTATAAACGTGATTTTTTTTGTGAAATCAGGGGCCATAATCCATGAAGTTGCAGAAAATCTGGATGAACTTTCTCGGCCAATGCAGGGATCGAACACCCGACCTCCAGGCTAGCAAGCCAGCGTCTTACCCACTTAGCAACGTGATCCCCACATAACATATGACCAAAAGGAATATCTTGTTATGTGTTTAATAATATACCAGTATGTGCGATACTGTTAATTCATGAACTTTTACTTACTTCATACAGGCAAAGCATCGTAATACATAGTTCTTGGTTTTTTTAATAATCATTCCATCAATTGATATCACATTTAAACCCATCTGTATCAAAACATTCTGAAAAATAACATGCAACCAACTGCCTTAAATAACAGATCACAAAAATGATTGTTTGGGACTAGTCATTTGAACACAAAGAAACACTTTTAGTCTAAAATTGAAAGCTTTGGCATACTTGATTTAATAATAAGTGTACACTGGTTCCACAGAACGTAAATAAAGACTATTGCTCCATAAATTGCCCAATTTACTCCATTGTCCAAGGTTGTGCAGAGGGAGCAGAACTTCTTTCTAAATTATAATCACAATCATAGTTATGTCGTTAACCAATAACATACAGTATCCCCCCCCACCTCCCTCTTAATTTCTAACACTATCAAATATCTACCTGCATGGCAAAATCTGTTGTTATACACCCAACTGGTACATTAGCCTTCTCTGTATTAACATCACCCATCTTCTCACGAATTTCTTTAATATTACTGGGAGTAATCCATCCACCATCATCATCATCATCATCATCACTCTCGTCTTCTTCATCTGATTCTTCACCCTCTTCTATATCATCTGCTCTTAACACATCTCCTTCTCCTTTAGATTTATACTGAGTCGGAAAAACCGAGTTCTGATCAGATGAAATATTTTCTGTTGTATTGTTTATTTGAGATTCGGGTTCATTATTTTTCACATTATTTTCTGGGCTGTCGCCTGTTTCTGAGATGACTGGTAACACTTTTTCTGTGGGATTACTTTCAATAACATCCACTTTTGAACACTCTGAAGAATTACGTGATCTTGCCTTACTGTCCTTTTGTTTTTTAAAAAATAAATAAATATAAGAATTACTTTAATATAAGACTTTATAAGATTATAATAACTACACGTACTATAGAGATCATTTTAAAACTTTGACAACAAAGCACTATTCGTGGAAACTATTCACAACTTTTTGTGGATTCATACATAAACATGATCAATCACTTTAATGTAAAAAAAAGAATGGGGCTTAATGTTTTATCAACACATTTTACCTGGATATGGACATTTTTGCCTACTTGTCTTCAACTTTCAATATACAGAAATTGTTGAAATGTAGTAATCAGCTTCTTCGTTTCACTAATTTGAATAATGCATATAAATTTCATACATATCAGGTGTTCACTTTAAGCGCTCACGAGATTCTACAAAGTGATCTAGGGCAATAACTCTGAGGTTAATAGAGACTGCTGAAATTCATAAGCCTTCTGAGGTTATTAGAGACTGCTGAAATTCATAAGGCTTCTTCACCTAACTAATGCAAGCAGCAAATATGTATATATATTTTTAAAAGATCAGATGATAAATGTAGTTGTGGACAACGAACCAAGTGGGTGTAAAAGAGTGATAGATGCTACTCCTGACAAAGAAAGCACCAAGTTTAAAAACTCCTGAATGTTTATACTGAACACTTGTACGATCGTATATAGAGTTACTGTATGTATGTAACAGCTGAGAAGAGGTTAGCATGATTACAAAACATAACATGATTTCTGAACAATGATTCTTAAAAGAGAGCAAAACAAACCTCTGATTTTAGATAAAACCCAGCAATGTCTGTAGGTTTCTCCAAATTATACTTTGTCATATTCCATTCTGCCTGAAAAAGCAATCAAATTGTAATTTATTCACAATCAAACACCTAAAATTGAGCTAAAGAATTGGGTGACAAGAACTGCTACTATGGAAACAAATTTTACAACAGTGTCAAAAAATTATTTTGGATCATATAATTGCAACAAGCCAACATTGAAGCTGATGTCCCCCCGCCGAAATCCCGAAATAAATAGATGACGCATATTACATGTAATTAATTGTAGGTTTATCTTTTTCAAAAGTATCGAGCAATCAAAGTGATTATCAACTATACACTAAGTTTCATCACTCTCTATCTCTCTATCAGATAGGAGGTCAAAGTCAAAGAAATTGCTTAGCTTTGCTTAGTTTTAGCGTGAAATGTTAATCATTGAACACAGTCAAGATAATCACCTAATCAACATCAACATTAAACATTCTACCGTAATTAAAAGCAGGGTTGTTATGTTCCAAAGTCTTGACCAATCAAATTGCTTATTGCTCCTTAGCCTAAGCAGAAAATTCTCATCAAACTTAGACAAGGTAATGATATAATGAATCTATGCTCTCACTTAATTATAACAAAGTTATCCTGCCCAAAAGCATCAACCAAACAAATTACCGTGAGCAGACAATGCTCATTATCGATTGACCACCATCAAGGCATTCACCTAATGAATGCCTACACCAAGTTTGAACATTCTACCTCAATTAGAATGAGAGTTATAGTGTTTCAAAGCCTCGACAAATCAAATTGCTTATTGCTCTGCTTGCCATCAGCAGAAAATGTTCATTATCGAACTTAGTCAAGGCACTGATGTGATGAAACTATACACCAAGTTTCATCACTCTCACTTAATTTAAGTTATTGTGTCCCAAGGCAGCAACCGATCAAATTGCTTATCTCTGCTTACCCTTAGCAGAAAATTCTCATCTTCGAACTCCATCAAGGCATTCACCTAATAAACACCTACACCAAGTGTGAACATTGTTTCTCAATTAGAAGGTGAGTTATTGTGTTCCAAAGTCTCGACCAATCAAATTGCTTATCGCTTTGCTACCCTGAGCAGAAAATGCTCATTATCAAACTTTGTCAAGTGAAAACTATACACCAAGTTTGATCACTCTTGGTGTATAGTTTCCACTTATCAATGCGTTGACCTAATAACCACCTACACCAAGTTTGAACATTCTAGCTCAATTAGAAGAAGAGTTATTGTGTCCCAAAAGGTGGACGGATGGAAAGACATACAAACAGACGAAAGGCGTGGGACAAAATAACTCACAAAAATTAATACAATTTTACAGATACATGGGTCTATGTTTCCCCCCAACAATGTGATATCATTCTGCTATGAAACATTTTTAGTTTTTGCAGGTAAATTTCACCAAACAAATAATTTTTCAACAGATTTTTTGTGAATTCGATTGATCAAGGGATGTAATCCACTTTAATAATAAAAGGGAGATAAACTACTTGAGTTGTTTATTTTTAAATCAAGCCTTTTCAGTTTTCAACAGCAGAAAAGGTTTCTATATGTACCTGGGAAAATATTATTAAAACTGTCCAGGAGTAAATACAATAACTACAGATACACATGTTGAAATAATTTAATAACTATTTACAAATTGAAAAGGAATATACATTGTGAACTGACATGCTGAGACTACTTTACTATACCTGTAGGGGAGGTGTTCTCTTGATGTGGTCTGTTCCCACATATTGTTTTTCTAGTTGATAAGTTAAAGCTATTAATCTTATATCAACACCAGATAAACTTTTGTAATCACCAGTTTTCTTTGAAAACTCAGTTACTGAAATATATAATCAGGATTGCTAATGCTATGACATGTCCAAATATACTGTATTAAGAAAATGTAAGTGTGAACTAAGTAAATACACATGTACAACTTCTCGTATTTACATGTCCAGGCATATGCCCAGAGGGCCCGTCTACCTCCTACATGCATCAGAAATTTTGAAAAACAGGCTGCCGGAAATGCAGCCTGCCAGTATTTCAGGCACTGATCGTTGAGATAAAGTGTCAAACGAACGGACTTGCAAACCTCGACGTAGCCCACTCACGAGCACCAAAGTAGGGAGTCCTTACGGAGGGTATGGAGGACCACCCCCAGAAAATATGGAAAAATAGACTGCCGGAAATAATGTCTGACAGTATTCAGTCAGGCACCGATCGTTGAGATAAATAGATCTGACCAGATACCGTCCGTCGCCTGATCACTAGTTTACAAAATGTCAAACGAACGGGCTTGCAAACCTCAACAAAGTAGAGAGTCCTTGTGGGGGGAATGGCGGACCTCCCCAAGAAAATTTTAAAAATAGACTGTCGGAAATACTGTCTGACAGTATTCAGGCACCGATTGTAGAGATAAATAGAGCTCATCAGATACCTTCTGTCGCCTGATCACTAGTCTATCTGACCAAATACTTTTTTTTTCTAAAATTATTGGGGGGGGGGGCAAACAGAGGGCAGACCAGATTTATGGGGGGAAAAATTCCCCCCCCTTGGCGCCGCCACTGGACATATAACAGACCCAAGAGACAAGTTTGTGATGACAGTCACTTGAGAACAGTTAAGAGATAATATGTTATGTTTACAATTTCTGGCTGATCTGTGATGCCTACAGCATAAAATAGAAGACAAAATTTGAAAAGCCTTCTCATTTCATTCTTCACCTATAATGTTGACAAAACCGGTTAGCCGGATGCAACGTTCCTAGCGTAATGAGAGTTACTTGAAGTAACTTACCGGTACTTCTCTTATAAACAGACGACTTTCACTCATTTGTTTACTTATTGTTTAGCATTTGGACAGTTAAAAATCATAATGTTTCATAAAATGGTGATATGTCTAGGCCTATACGAAAATATTCTCCTAATGACTGAACTGATTACCATTCTTATTGAATGATAGTGATACAGATTTTATTGGTGGTGTAGATTTTGATAGTTTTGTGTAGAATGTGATAGAAGTAAATTACTTGATTGTGATTGTAGTCTAAATAATGATGAAAGGCTTTTAGTTCACAACAGCCAAACAAAAAAAAGAGATCACCATATACATGAATTCTGAATAAAATATCTAAATTAGAGTATTTGCCATAGTTTTTAGTATAAAATTTATATTTATGAAAATGGCATTAAATCTAGACCATTACATTCATTTACATGAAGGGTCTATCTACAGTTGTTTGTTAATGAGATGACTTTAAAATGCATATCTATATTTGAACACTATTTATGACGTTATGACGTCAAAGCTCTGGCTCTCTTAAGAGTTAATTCTCAAATTAGATGGTGATAAGAAAAACATTCAGAGATTCATTGTGTTTCTCCTGGTCTCCTCAAAAAGCATTTTTCAGTATAGGACTAGGATAATCAATCGCCACAAATTGAAGTCCCTAAAACAAATACTACTTAATCTTGGCAGTGTTCTTTGCCCGCCCCCCCTCCCTGTAACCCATCCCCATACAGTATTTCAACTATTTAACCATCTTTATTCTGTTTAAGAGGACATTGGCAGGTAAATGAACACTGAAATCTGAATACCAGTAAACAATGATGAGTCTTTGATGATCGTATACCCCCACAGGATCAAAGTAAATAAATACTTACATGTACATGTACATAAAAAGTATACCTACCAAATAATATAGCTTCTGAAGATGGTTCCTTAAATTTAATTGTGTATGGTAAAACTTGAAGTCTATCTCTTGTTGTTTTATCTTTTATTTCATTTACCACCGAATGTAGGGTATAAATATTTTCTCCAATTTCCTAAAGTAAAATCAGTTCAAAATTGGTTTAGATATCTGTTCAGGCACTTATAGCCAGCAAAAACTGTTAGTTTAAAAAAAGTCAGCGGATGCCAGGCAGGATACGCCCACATTTTGCAAGAGATGGATAGAGAACAAGCTAAACAAAAAGCGATATTTTGTACAATCAGGGGCCATAATTCAGGAAGTTACAATCCGATATGCGCGGATATCGAAAGGAACCGAGATCTTTGGGTTATAAACTTACATTTCAAGTTTCATCAAAATCAGAAGAAAATTGTGACCTCTATAGGGTCCACAACATTGATATACCATATTTTTTACGCTAATTGTGTACGGGGGGGGGGGGCGCGGTCATTTTGTCCGGCAGTTTTGGTCCGATTTTCACGAAATTCAAACTCAACCAAACTTACAGTGTAACACTGATATACACTGGGACCTCAAGCTAAAAACGTGATTTTCCGTACAATCAGGGGCCATAATTCAGGAAGTTACAATCATATATGAGCGAATATCAAAAACAACCGAGATATTTGGGATATATACTTACATTTCAAGTTTCAACACAATCGGATAGAAATTGTGACCTCTAGAGGATCACCAAACCTTGATATACCATATTTTTTACCCTATTTGAGAATGAAGGGCGGCCATTTTGTCTGTCAGTTTTGGGCAGATTTTCACGAAATTTGAACTCAGCCGTTCTTAGGGTGTAACGGTGATATAATCATAAGGTTTTTCAAATCGGGTAAAAATTATGACCTCTATAGGGTCCACAAGCTAAAAACGCGATTTTTCGTACAATCAGGAACCATAATTCAGGACTTTACGGTCCGATATGCGCGAATTTAGAAAGGAACCAAGATCATTGGATTATTAAACTTACATTTCAATTTTCAACAAAATCAGATAAAAATTGTGACCTCTATAGGGTCCACAACCTTGACATACCATATTTTTTCACTATTTTCGAACGAGGGGCGGCCATTTTGTCTGTAAGTTTTGGTCCGATTTTTACAAAATTGGAACTCAACCATGCTTAGGGTGTAACGGTGATATATTGTAACGGTTTTTCAAATCGGATAAAAATTGTGACCTCTATGGGGTCCACAAGTTAAAAACACGATTTTTCGTACAATCAGGAGCTATAATTCAGGAAATTATGGTCCGATATACGCGAATATATCGGTGGTTGCAGGCAAGATACGCCCCACATTCTGCAAGAGATGGATAGCGAACAAGCTAACAACAAAAGCGATTTTTCGTACAATCAGAGGCCATAATCCAGAAAGACATGGTCTGAAATACGCAATTTATGTTGAAAGAGATTGAGATCTTTGGGACGTAAACATATATTTTAAGTTTCATCAAAATCATAAGGTAGGTTGCCAGGCAACGAAACATACGCCCACAGCAGCTAAGTTGTCCGAGCAGTCAACAAGAGTTGTCGCATATATTTTCTATTGTCGGTAATGAAACATTTATAATACACTAACAACTCATTAAGTAATTATCAGAAAATCATTAGAAATTGTTTGGCTTTTAGTTCTGCTCCATGCATGCTAACGTTTAGGATACGAAACATTTAATATCATGAATTTAGCTGTTCAAGTTATCAAAATTCATTGAAAATCAATAGACTTGTTCGTCTCAAGACCTTTAACTCTGTTTATCAACCTAAAGTCAATCGGATATTAACTTCAGCCTCTAGAGGGTCCACAAGATATTACAAAGTGATCAAGGGCCATAACTTTGGCAGTAATTATCAGATATCGTTGAAAATCAATAGGCTTCTTCATCTCATGACTTTAAACACTGTGTATAAATTTAAAGTCAATCGGATATTGACTTTAGCCTCTAGAACGTCCACAAGATTTTTCAAAGTGATCAAGGGCCATAATTCCAGGAATGAACGAACGAACAAGCCAGATAAGAATATAGGGTCACCGTTTGACATGACTTGTGGAATATGTTAGCCTCGTTCTTCGAGTCCCTTGTTAAAAATGGCGCTGAAAAGCATTATGTATTATTTTACATGATTCATGCACCAATTAGGGTCGATGACAAAAAATTCAGCTATCCTGTATGGCTTTAATTGTGTTATTTCTGGATAGGGCTGTCCAACAGCTTTACAATGACACCAAAATGAGCTTGATAGGCCCTATATTAATGGAGTTAAGCCTAATTAATTGTCACTAATTAACGCCCCTTTTGTCTTGGGAACAATGAATGGAAAGTGAGGCCACTTCGAAACTGGATCAAAAATTTTTTTCGCACTTCATATTTTGGCTCCGCTGTACATGAGAATAACACATAGAATATTTAAAATATTTGATAAAGGTCAATATAATGTAATAATTATTCATGTATGTTCAATAAAAAACACTTTAGTGACCATGTACAGCACGAATTTTCGTTTACGGTAAAATTCCATTCCTAAGTTTGGATTATTGGCTGAGCGTTAGTTTGAAAATGGCGGCCCAATTCAAATGAAAGTTGTTTATGTTTTTGTATCGTACAATTCTACATGAAAATAGAGTTGAATTTTCATAAATTTGTGTCGGATGTGGCAAGAAATGGTTCATTTTAGCGACCAAAGAAGAATCCGGTGAAAAATCGACGGTAAGGATTCCAAAACTGCCTTAGAACCGAGATAGGGGAAAAGCCTTATTTTCATACTAGTTGTCATTAGGAGCTGACAGAAACGTAGTAGAGAGCAGAGCCGATACAATTTACGTTACTAAAAGTAACTAGTACATCACTACATACATGTATGTATCAATCATGTAATGGCTAATGCTAATACATGTATAGAGCGAAGATCTAAAGGACCGTTGTACGTGACAAGGAGTAGGGTCGCCTGTCCAACCTCGTGGGTTTTCTCCGGGTCCTCCGGTTTCCTCCCACTGCTAAAGAACCCTACGCGCAAGCGAATTATTGAAATAAAATTAAAACCATATGTTAATCCCGAAATGACCTAGTTTGTGTCGAGTGGACGTTAAACCCTATTTCTCTCTCTCTCTCTCTCTAAAGGACCGCGCGAAGCTCGGTGCTTGAGCGAAGCTCTTTTCCGGTAACACAGGAGCGTAATTGAAAATGTCACCCACAGACTGTTGATTAAAAAAAAATTTCAGACCAGAACCGGATACACTGGGCAAAACAGGCAATGCGCATGTCAACTTACCAAATCTCGACCAAACGAGATCACGTAACAATATCTATGACGTAACTAACAAAAATAATTGTACACATAAAATCTCGCCCAAGCGAGATTACGCGCCTCATCGAACTATTTCTATGACGCGTCTAATCAATGACGTCATATTTTTTACGTCAATGAAAATAATTCTCACACTTTTTTTTTTTTTTTAAAAACAAAATTAATGTATAAAATTTAGATCTAAATAAAAATCAAATTTGAAAAACTAAATTATTTAACATTTTTTGTATCACTTGAGAAAATTAATTATGAAGGTTTTATTTGACGTCAATATGAATATTACAATAATCAGCTTCGCTCTACTCAGGCAATGCCTGTTACATATTAGAACCTAATGTAAACTGGTAAATTTTAAAGATAAAATATTAGGTTCTATAGTTGATGAAAACCATTTTCAGGACAATTATGCAATATATACTTAATTGCACTCACTCTGATTGGGGCATTTTTAATAAATCCAGCCGAATCAACAACAACGTGTTTTACAGTCGCCATTTTAAGATCATGTGACCGAAGTATTTTAAAAAAAAAATGACTTAAACAAATATGCTACCTAAAGATTACTAAATATGATTTAAACATAAATATAAGTATATTTCTATATGCTTCGGTTATATTTTTTAGCATTATTAATATTGATACCAACGAGATTTCACGTGATCGAGATACTGTACGTAATAGGTCATGTGATCATAAATGGTGGCCAACCTTCTGACGAAAAGTAGGGACTATAAACAAAACAATTTACGTCATAAACTTATGATTAGTAAGTATTTTAGATTAATTTAATGAAACAAAGAAAAACATGATCCAATCTTTATTGAAAATTCATTAGTTGGGCTAATATGTTTGTGCCTCGAAAGTAAACAGCGACGGAATGTTGAGTTGTGAATTTTCTCAAGTGACAAAATCAGTCTCCCTTGGCCTTATAAATCATATCAGATGATTCTGAATACCGAATCTGACATAAAAGATAGGCTACCCCGTAAGGCTACTACTACTCACTAAATAAACCTAGATCGTGTGGTGCCAGTTTATTTAGTTCTATGGTCTTAATCTATTAGTTTAGGTCATTTTTTATAACCACCATTTCTTTCCTTGGCACTGTGACTGTCAATTTAAAGTGATCAGTGATATACATTGTAACATTCACTTGTCCTACATGAGTTGACAATTTTTTTTGCTTAAATTCTAGGAAGTATAAAATATGACACTTTTCCCAATTCTTATATTGACGTATGAGGCATCAGATTCTAGATACATGTATCTCCCCAGGATTTAGGTTGATACTTTCTGCCTGTCTCAGTGTCTGACAATATATAGCTGCATGACATTGGAATATGATTCAACTTATGATTTTAAAGAAAAGTATTCAACCTTATCTTCAAGTGGGCATGTAAATACATCTATTCCATGCCTCTGATAGATTTTTGTCACACACTGAAAATGTCCCCTGATTGGTGGAAATATTAGGGATGTTGCCATAACGGCCAAAACTTTACCCAGTCTCAAGACGGATAAAAATTATTTATTTATTGAAAAAATAATATAAGCTTATTTAACAAAACATTAAAAAAGAAAAAAATAGATACAAACTGACTCTCATTTGATAAAAATAACAATTTTGAGTATGGTTCAACCAGATCAAAATAATAACTATCGGTAATCATCCTATTCCATCATCCAAGACCAGACTGTTTTTGAAAGGATGGAAGTGAGTATTAGTTAATCAAGTGATTGGTTAATCCCCAATTAAGTACTGCACCCTCTACTAAAGCTTTTACTGATTACGTTATATTTAAACGACATAAAATTTTTTGACTTACATTTAGAATTTATTTTAAGTTTCATTTCGATGATCAGTGTTTATCAAGTCCACTCGTGAGATGAATATGATATCACTAGCCTTTATAATTTGTCTATTATTTTTCAAACACTATTTATTTAATAAATATTTATGTAATTAGGTTATTTATATATACAGTTATATAAATACATTGTTTAAATCTTAATCATAGATGTAATGGTTTAAATTACATTGAATTTGCGCAGTTAAGAGAAAAACAATATTTCGCATTTCAATGAGCTCATATACAAAAAATAGTTAGCAACACGATTATCTGATGATTTAATAGTAATTGAAGGGTGTGCAAACCCAATGTTGTCGATAGAGGAGAGAGAGAAATTCTAAAAGTTAAAAGTTAAACAATATCTTTTTCATTTCACCCAAGCTACACGTACATGTATTTGTAGTCACTCCTACAGTACATGTATTTATGTAAATAGCATTGGATTGATAATGAAAAACACATATTACATAAACGTTTCAGTCGTTGTTTTTTGTATTTTAGAGGAGAGCCGAAAAAAGATCCCCTTAATGAACAAATTGAAAAAATCGCTTCACCTAAAAAAGCTCTCCCTGTTTCGATAAAGAAGAGTGATTTAGAAATTAAGGAGAGTGATCTGATATTAAGGAGTGATTAGTTGTATGTATGGTAAATGGTTCTGAAGATCAATAACTGCGTGTAAGGGGTCATTCCTGGTTACATAAATCATAATAAACATCATCTGCTAAATAATAGTACTCGTAAGCGTATGGTCAAGTCAAACTTCTGCTATCGTCTATAACTACATGTACATACTGTATTCCAATAGAAATACTTGTCGGCATTTCTAATTATATATAGTTTGTATAAATTTGTTTAAAAACATAACCCCTATTCAAAATATAATCATCAATGCTTGAAAATTCCATCAAAATATAATCTATTTCTTCCAGAATTATTCTCATTGGAAATTTTCATGTGCCATTTCTCGTAATTTCTCACATCTCACAAGGGTTCTACTTTACATTTCAGTTAAATTAACCAATGATGCATACATGTAGGTGCCATCTATTTTTAGCAACATATTCCTCATAATTTAATTACCATCTGCGATCACATTATGCACTAATCGAATACACCAAATAAATGTTCACACTGACAGCATTTCGGCGATCGGAATGTGAGGCTTTCACACTCTTTTGAAAATAAAAAAGTACACATGTCCATGATTTACAAATAAGGAGAGTGACTTCCAATTTTAAGTCGAGGGAGAAAAACCTCCCCTAGGTCTGGTAAAAAAACAATGACTGGTTAAATATGATGCATACATGTAGGCGCCATCTACTTTTAGCAACATATTCATCAGAATTTTATTACCATGTGTGATCACATTATACACTAGGAATACACCAAATAAATGTTCACAATGACAGCATGGTGGCTATTGTAATGTGAGTCTTTCACACACTTTTGAAAAAAAGAATACATGTCCATGATTTACAAATAAGGAGAGCAATTTTGAATTTATGGGGGGGGGGGACCTCCCCTCGGTTGACATTCAGGTGTGTGGCAGGCGCACGCGAGGGATCGTGCCTCAAAAAACAATTACTGCCATTTTGAATCTTCTTTGGCAATTTTAGCCAAAATGTTAGGCCATTATGACCAAATGCTTGGCCGCTATGACCAAAATGTTTTGGCTGTTCTGAACATAATTATTTTTTTTACTGTTTTGTTTTAAGGCCTTTGTGTCCATGCAATAGTGTACTCGACATTTGAAACGAGGCGTTCAAAATGAAAAGAGAATTAGTTCTTCAGTATCAGTGGATTTTAACATAATTCCAGTTTTAATGGTCATTAGGACGTATTTCAAAATGAATGAGTCTCCTGTTGAACTGATAAGTAGCCCTATAGATTTCATAAAATTGCAACATCTTATTGTAAATTAATTTTTATCATTATTCACAGTTTTATCTTGCCAAGAAACAGATACATGTAAAGTACTGTTACTGAGTTGACTAACCTAATGATATTGAATAGTTTTCAATTACAGTAGAGAAAACTAGTTGCTTTTACTAATTTTATTGTATGAAACATACGTACATGTATTTCTGGACCCATCTAATTCACTTCCCACCATGAGTTCAGAAGGGTAAACATGGTTATCCAGGTGTAGTACATGTAGAAAAAAGAATGTATTGTCATGTACAATGTATTTTAAAAAATTATCACAGGGCTTTTACAGATAGTTCAAGAAAAGAAGGCTAGGATAAAGGTTTCTAGGAATATTTTACTAACACAATTAAAGATACATTAATGGAGATTTTTATTAGGAGTTAGCCATTTTTGCTATAACAGTTCAAAAATAGATGATGAAAGAAGAATATATTGAAAATTTCAATCAAATTACTTTATTCTGAACATAGTTATCACCAGTGTAATTTTTGACTAGAAATGGGATTGAATTCCATCTTCACCGATTCTTAGTATGGCCGATTGTTTTATTGACAGGCGTTAACTCCACCTACATAATCTCTGCTGTCTTGTCTGCTGTCATCATATCCGAATTTGTGTTTTACTTTTTTGGATTTTTATAACAATTGGACAAAATGAGTGAGAGGGTAAATTTTCATTCTTACTTGTATTTTGGGCATGCATTACATCAATTGAATATAGGACATGATATTATAATACAATTACAATAAATCTATAGTATCTACCAGTGGCGTTGTGCCTATTGGGGAAATAAAAATAATTTTATTGATATTATTAAGACAGAAGAACTGTCTGTCTGTATTAGTTATCACACGGTCTTCAGGATTTGTATAATTTGTCATTATCTGTGTTTAGTTTATTGGACTTTAAATAGTTTAGATGTCATTTGTTAAGGCATCGCTCAACAGCGGCCTCGCTTCGTACACTCTATCATTTAGCCTCGATCCGGGAGTATGACGTCAACGTAACGGTTAATCTCCAATCACGACGCCATTTAAAATTAAATCAGTCAACGAAATCCCGTTTAAATCCAAGCTGAATCCAAGCCATTACTGGGTCTACAGAGTTGATTTTGTGCTTGTTGTGTAATTAAAGATCTAATTTATAATTCCTATGACATCTGAAGCCTAAATAAAGACTTGCAATAATCAGATTTAGCTCTTGCATAATGTATGTTTAACTAGTTATATTCACTGAATATATCTGGTTGATAATCTGTCATAAATTAATGTTTTTATCTTAAATTTATTGCACTCCAAATAGGAATAGGGTATGACTACATGTCATGATATGAAAATCAATATAGTTAGTAATATCAAACAATTAAAAAAATATCGAAATACTGAAAATATTGTCAATACCTTGATTTATCGCCAGTATGGTAAAAATAAAATCAACAGGTTTTAAAAGAAGTACATGTATTTTCAATGTTTTGTTCATGATCTGACAAATCTTGTTCTGCGATGGTTGGTTAAACTTGGGATGTGACTTATTGAACGTCGACTCTTATTACTCTTGCCTTCACTTGTACATGTAGTTTGGTTTGGGAAACATGAAATTGGGTGGTTGATCGATGTTGTTCATTTAAATATGGCTTGCTATATATCCTGTTGAATTTGAAGCATTATACAATTTCTTTGATTAGGTTTACTACACAAAGTTTACCTTACAAAGTAAATACTTGTATCACAATATTTTTTAAACTTATAAATGCACAATATTTTATTTTGTAATTCACCTGATTCTACATGTAGACCAAAACCAAAAATTTGTCAGTTTTCCATCAGATATTTTATCATGTAGGCCTATTAAGTTCTCCCTTAATTCATACATGTAGTAAGCTGCAAGCCTATATTAAGTGATTTCAATACAGGAAATGCAAAGTTATTTAGTGGCCTACATGTAGTTTCTATTGTTAGATTATTTTATGATAATGTTTTACATAAAATTTAAACTATATGACATTGGATGACCTGCTATGTATGTTGTCTTTATATGTTGTATATTTTTATCTTTTACATATGGTTTACATATTTACATTCTCTATTTCCTTCTATTTTTTTCTCATTAAAAGCATTTACTGTTCACATGAACCACCATTAGAGTTTAAGTACATGTACGTACTAATAGTGAGGATGTACATGTAGTGATAAAGTAGTCTACAATTTTTGATACATGTAATTGACAGAATTGACAAAATGCCTACGAATTAGCATACATGTATGTGATTTAAAGCAGGAGTTAAAACTCTTGATTGAGGTTAAAATAAAGTATTGAATTGAGTTGATCTGATGGGATATTTCAATTTAAGATGGGATTTAAAACTCTTTCTGATTTAATTGGCTTGTTTCATTTTTGTTTCCTTTATGAACAGTGGATCAAAAAATCAATTATATTTCCATATGTATAACAATTTCTACAATGATTGTGTAAAATCTAGTTTAATTTTTACCCAAATCAAGTAGGTCTGGCCATTTAGATAAATCTGTACATGTACAGTACATGTACATGTACGTATAGTGTATAAACGTAGGTACATGTACATTTGTAATAAAGCTCATAACTATTGTTTCATTTACTAAATTGATATATTTATGCTTGTACATGCATGCACAATAGTATATATTTGTAATATTGTTATCTATAGCAGCATGTCATTGAATTTGTTACAGATTTGACTATGTTTGAACAGAGATCATAATGGGAGAGGCGGCAGGCGCTACAGGATCAAGTACCTCACAACTGTGCCAATTGCAAATCTCAAGTAAGTCTTTAATTTATTAAAAACAAAATTACTGACCCAACAACTGATTGAACTAGTTATATTAGTAGTAGTGTATGTTGATGTACATGTAGCTCACATGTCACAGTGAATCTACTTTTCTAAAATATGAAAAACACCATTTACATTGCATGATATAAACCCAAACAGCAACCAAACTTAAAGAGGCATTATGGGAGATTAGATAAAGAGTTGATAGTTAAAAAAATAGATAACGTGAATAGAATATCTTGAAAATTTCTGTCATATTGCTCCAATTTGAACCCAGATATTAGCTTTTGAATTTTAAGCCTAGCCTTGATCATCAATACTAAACTCGGTGCAGTAAAAAACATAGTCTCGATTATCCATTTTTATACGCCCACATTTTCATGTGGACGTATTATGCCGTCGCCCCTGTCCGTCCGGACGTCCGTCCGTCCACAATTGTTTGTGGACTCTCTACATGTCACAATTCTTATCCGATTTCGACGAAACTTGAAATATAGGTTTATCCCCAAAAGATCTCGGCTGCTTTCGATATTGGCATGTATCGGATCGAAACTTCATGGATTATGGCCCCTGTTTGTACGAAAAATCACGTTTTTAGCTTGTGGACCCTATACATGTAGAGGTCACAATTTTTATCCGATTTTGTTGAAACTTGAAATGTAAGTTTATAACCCAAAGATCTCAGTTCCTTTCGATATTTGCGCATATCGGACAGTAACTTCCTGAATTATGGCCCCTGATTGTACGAAAAATCACGTTTTTAGCTTGTGGACCCTATAGAAGTCATAATTTTTATCCGATTTAAGAAACCGTTCTATAATATCACCGCTACACCCTAAGGATGACTGAGTTCGAATTTCGTGAAAATCGGCCCAAAATTGACAGACAAAATGGCCGCCGTTCGTTCCCAAAAAGCGTAAGAATATGGTATATCAAGGTTGTGGACCCTATAGGGGTCACAATTTTTATCCGATTTTGTTGAAACTTGAAATGTAAGTTTATAACCCAAAGATCTCGGTTCCTTTCGATATTCGTGCATATCGGACCGTAACTTCCTGAATTATGGCCCCTGATTGTACGAAAAATCACGTTTTTAGCTTGTGGACCCTATAGAAGTCAGAATTTTTATCCGATTTAAAAAAAACGTTCTATTATATCACCGTTACACCCTAAGGATGACTGAGTTCGAATTTCGTGAAAATCGGCCCAAAATTGACAGACAAAATGGCCGTCATTCGTTCCCAAATAGCGTAAGAATATGGTATATTAAGGTTGTGGACCCTATAGGGGTCACAATTTTTATCCGATTTTGTTGAAACTTGAAATGTAAGTTTATAACACAAAGATCTCAGTTCCTTTCGATATATGCGCATATCGAATTGTAATTTCCTGAATTATGGCCCTTGATTGTAGGAAAAATCACTTTCTTGTTAGCTTGTTCTCTATCCATCTCTCGAAAATGTGGGCGTATTCTGCCTGGCAGCCGCTGCTTGAATTTAATCATCAATGAGTGTTGAGCAGCAGATTTGATTCAAATCCAGTGAAAATCCGACACTTAAGATGACATTGAGAGTTGATTATGGTTTGGATAAGTTAATTAATGTCTAATTAATAGTTTATACATGTATAACATTTCAGGCCTAAAGAAAGACCTGCAAAAATAGACAGATTTAGCTCTTGCATAATGTATGTTTATAATATAGAAACAGTATGCTAGATCTATAAACACAGCAGGCCATTCTTGCTATAATTATAATAGTTCAAAAATAGATAATGAAATACATGTATGAATGTATTGGAAATTTCAATCAAATTGTCTCTGAATGTGAGGATTGCTGATCTTTGGCACTGGCAGTCATAAACTGTATCCACAGTTCATATTCTTCATTGCTTGTAGTAATATACAATCTGATTAAAACACAGACCTTATTTCATTTTGTTATACGTCCACATTCATAATGTGAACGTATTATGCCGTCGCCCCTGTCTGTGTGTGTGTGTGTGTGTGTGTGTGTGTGTATGTATGTATGTATGTGTGTGTGTGTGTGTGTGTGTCTGTGGTTCGCCTACAGGGCGCAATTCTTCATGGATTTTCTTCAAACTTGGTATACTTATTCCTTATACCCCAAGGAAGATCCCTATTGTTTTTGGTGCATGCCCGACCCCCCGGGGCAGAGCCACGCCCATTTCTAGTATTTGTTTGTTTGTCGTCTACAGGCCACATTTCTTAACTAATAATCTTGAAACTTTGCATACACATTCTTTGTACCCTAAGGAACATCCCTATCGTTTGGGGTGCATGCCCAACCCCCAGGGGCAGAGCCACGCCCATTTTCTTTTCGTGTGTCTTTGTGTCGCCTACAGGGCGCAATTCTTACTGGATTTTCTTCAAACTTGGTATACTTATTCCTTATACCCCAAGGAAGATCCCTATTGTTTTTGGTGCATGCCCGACCCCCAGGGGCAGAGCCACGCCCATTTCTAGTATTTGTTTGTTTGTCGTCTACAGGCCACATTTCTTAACTTATAATCTTGCATACACATTCTTTGTACCCTAAGGAACATCCCTATCGTTTGGGGTACATGCCCAACCCCCAGGGGCAGAGCCACGCCCATTTCCCATTTTCTTTTCGTGTGTCTTTGTGTCGCCTACAGGGCGCAATTCTTACTGGATTTTCTTCAAACTTGGTATACTTATTCCTTATACCCCAAGGAAGATCCCTATTGTTTTTGGTGCATGCTCGCCTCCCCGGGGCAGAGCCACGCCCATTTTTTGTATTTGTTTGTTTGTCGTCTACAGGCCACATTTCTTAACGTATCATCTTGAAACTTTGCATACTTATTCTTTGTACCCTAAGGAACATCCCTATCGTTTTGGGTGCATGCCCAACCCCCAGGGGCAAAGCCACGGCTATTTTCTTTTTTATGTCTGTGTGTCGCCTACAGGCCACAATTCTTAATCGTCTTGAAATTTTTTCATATGAATTGCTTATACCCTAACGATGATCCCTATTGTTTTTTTTACCCCCAGGGGCAGAGCCACGCCCATTTTCTTTTCTTTTTCTGTCTGTGTGTCACCTACAGGCCACAATTCTTAATCGTCTTGAAAAAATTTCATATGAATTGCTTATACCCTAACGATGATCCCTATTGTTTTTGGTGCATGCCCGACCGCCAGGGGCATAGCCACGCCCATCCATTATATTTATTTATTTGTTTGTCATCTACAGATCGCATTTTTTTATCGTATCACCTTGAAACCTAGCATACATATTCCTTCTGTCCTAAGGAACATCCCTATTATTTGTGGTGAATACCCAACCCCCAGGGGCAGAGCTACGCCCATTTTCTTTTTTTATGTCTGTGTGTCACTTGCAGACCGCATTTCTTAATCGATCATCTTGAAAACTTTTTTATACTTATTCCTTATAGCCTAAGGCTACTATTTATACTTATTCCTTAATCCTAAGGCCGACCTCTATTATTATTTTTGGTGCATGCTCGACCCCTTGGGACAGAGCCACGCCTAATGTTTGTGTGTCTTGTGTTTTGCCTACAGACCGCAATTCTTAACAGATCCTTTTGAAACTTTGCATACCTATTCGAAACGCCATGCTTTTAGAATAAAGACATCGATTGTTTTAAAATAAAATTGTGTTCTGTTAATGTGAACGAAGTGTTAAACTGATAGCAGTCCTACAACCCAGTTTTATTTCACAGACCCTCAATGCAAACTGGACCATATCAAACAAAACAGGAATGTGGACGTATATTGCTGCGTTAGCGATGCTCTTGTTTTACCTGCCTTCACTACACTAGGATCTGGAAGAGTGGTACATGTACCTGTGTCCTGGTTGTTATATAACCCGCCAATGAAATGGTCTGTTGTGGCGAGCTCTTGGCGTGCGGCGCATGGAACTGTGGGTAGACATTCGCAGTGAAGACAAAGCAAAAGTTGTACATGTAACATCAATGCTCGTTGGTTAATCAAATGTCTGATGTTATAAGGTCAAAAGCCGCTTGTATGACCCCTGACGCCATATCCCACTACAACCGAAAGTATAAAAAAAATATGAAACAAAATATAGATCTGTATTTTAATCAGATTGGCTGCGATAATAAACAAAGTCTTGATTTTCATTCCTTTTATTGGCAATCTCTACGGGTGACGTCATGTATTACTGGAAATATGGTTGGCCATACTTGCATTTTTTAATGCAGATACGGTGGGCATTGTCTAATAATCAACTCAATATCTAAGCCATCTGATAGTCTAGAGAGTTGATATGGGCTTGTTGTGTTAATAAAATTCTAAATAATGATTTATATAACATTTGAAGCAAGAAACATGCCTGTCGTCAATTGGCTAATTTAGCTCTTAAAGTAAAGGTTAAGTAAGATACATGTACATACATGTAGCATACCTCTTTAGAATACATGTATCTGGGTACATGTACAGATGAATTGCCAAAGAATAACCTTTTGACAACTACATGTAGATAACATTATCAGATTATAATTAAATTATGAATTCAAAAAAATAAAAGCAATCAAAACTTCACAAAAATGTACTGTCATTTACTTTTCAGTTGTTTCGGCAAAATTTTCCTCAGGTGGAGGTTTATTTTCTGCGAAACCGGATTCTTACTGTGAAGTTAGTGTTGACGGTCAACCACCACGTAAAACAGACGTACAGAAAAAATCTGTTAACCCTAAATGGGATGAACATCTAACAGTGTAAGTAGAATATTTATGAGCTGTATAGTTTTTGTGTAATACTCTTGTTTTAACAAGTAGATCTTTTGATGTAGACCAAGGGTGGTCAATTGCAACCTATGCATGTACACACCCGGATTGAGATGTACCATATACATGTACAGCTCTAGACATAATTAGCAGATAAATATTACTTGCCTTTAAAGGAGAATGCTATAATAAAAGTTTAATTTTATCATTTACTTAGTTCATTGTGTGTAACACATTTCAGAATTTTTTTTTTTTTTTTAAAAAAAAGTTTTAGTTACAAATAACGTTAAAAAACACTTTTGGATTTCCGCAATTACGGAAACACCTGACAATTAATGAGCTGACGCTAAATCATGTGACATGACGTAAGAGGCGACACTCGTGTAGCAGTCGATGTATATTTCAATATGGCATTGGCAGAAAGAGACAGCTTGTCAGACATTGATTTCGCCCCGAATGTTCTTTTCTATCGGTATGAGCCAATTAGAAATGCGAGCAACAACAGTGACGATGATGGTTTGGAACATTCTACCATTTCTAGCGAAGAAGAACAATCGCTGCAGGCTGTGTTCAGATTAGGCCAGAGTACCTTGTCTTATCACATTCCTTTGATTCTCGATAACTTTTCGCTTCATTTATTGATGTGTGCTCTTCATCGGCGAAAATATATCCGAGAAAAACTATTAATTCCAACAAGTTCACCCTACCCATAGGGTAATACGGTATTCTATGCCCTAGCCTACTTTCTTTGTGCAACAATTGAAAAACGATGGTCACGTCTTATATACAGTATTTAGCTGTCGAGTGGACGTTAAACCCCATTTCTCTCTCTCTCTGTCTTTTTCGGACACAATAACTGTTCTTCTAATTGAGCTAGAATGTCCAAACTTAGTATAGGTGTTTATTAGGTCAATGCCTTGATGGAGTTCGAAGATGAACAGAGATAAGCAATTTTATTGGTTGAAGCTTTGGGAGACGATAACTTTGGTTCTACAGTTTAGTGAGAGTGATAAAACTCAGAGTATGGATTCATTATATCAGTACTTTGACTAAGTTCGTAGTCTCTATCATCCAGAAAATATTCTAGGAATATTAGTCTGGATGCATTGTCAGCATTTGAGAATAATAGGTCATTGGTTAGATTTTCCGGTCTTTTACGTTAACATAAACAAAGGGAGGTAACTAGCCCTAAAACTATAAGGTGTCGACGCCAATGAAATTAAATTAAGCATGCCATTTCCTAAAATCCATTTGATCGCATTACCAGTTCAATTTCAATATCCAACACTTTTAATTTTTTTTATTGTAAAATTTCTCTCTTCATGGGCCATATCTACATGTACATGTATGTTTTTTTAATTAATCCTAATTGGTCGTCACGATTTATGTTTGTTTATAATAATGCAAGAATTATGAGATTTATTGCGGGAAGGAGCACAACGCTTGCTTGACTTGGCCAACAATACTGGATAATCAGCCACATAAAAAAAATAACTCCTGGTTACACATGGGCAATGGAACTTTACGTCAAAAATTGACAACGTTCCCAGACCCTCTGTACGTTGATTCTGGGTGACTGAGACTACTAAGTTTGATGCTTAGACAAGCAATTTGATTTTATGTACATGTAGGCCTACATTATGAATTTTCTATTTTAATAGTCTAGTTAATCCCAACTCTAAATTAGAATTTCGAGTTTTAAGTCAGAATAGTATACGTGCAGACACATTACTTGGAAATACTGTGGTAGAACTCACTCCACTACTGCAAAAACATGGCGGCAAATGTAAGTTAATTTTTACTTATGGAAAAGATCATTGATTATTAATTAAGTTGATAGTAATAAGTATTATTTGACATTATCAGTGAACAGTACATGTATTTCAAACTGAATTGTAAAACTAAAAGAATAGATATAATGAACTGTGTTTGAAATTAAAGGCACAATATTCCAGGCAATTATAAATTTTCAGACCATACACAATTAAAGCACATTAGAGAAGGAATAAAATGACACAATTGCTGTTAATACTTAACTTTTGTTTGTTTTATTTCTAGTTGATAATTGTATGAAGACTTCTGATCTGAAAGTTGATGGTAAAGGAAAAACAGGGGAGCTAACTATTATTTTAAATGGTATGGATGTGAGCAACCGACCTGTTGTACGAAATGCATCTGGAGGTAGAAATAACAAAAGTAATTATCATTACTTTTTATTTATATATATTCTACATATGAGTTCTATAAATTCATGTACATGTATATATACATGCATAATAAAGTTTATGTACGGTATTCTGTCTAAACTTATTAACGACTTCCATGTTAATTTTTTTTTCTCCAATACTATAAAGAGGTTTGAGAATGAATCTTGGACTATAATCCCCTTACAACTTTGATTAGTAAGAGAATTGGTATAAACAAATAAATAGTCACTTTGTTGATTCATCAGTATCACACAATTGAGAATTGGAGTGGGAGTAGTCTTGGGTTTTTTAACGTTTACAGTGTACTAAATGATCTTAATTTCAGAAAGCTCAAATGGATCGGTTAACAAACCAGATCGACCGGAGAGACCTCCAAATAGAGCTTCAAAAAACGCTGCAGTAGTAAGAGGGCCTGCACCAACTCCTCCATCAAACCCGGTCTTTCAATCACCTCCACTTGTTTTACCCACAACACCTACTACTCCAGGTACACCAGCTACACCAGCCACACCAGCTACACCATCTACTCCAGCTACACCATCTACTCCAGCTACACCTTCGGGTATGTACTATGTTAGCATTCATTGATGCATCGGCTATGCAATGATGCACCAGCCGAAGGTGCGATTATCATTCTACTTGCTAAACATCAAACATTGTCTCTGCTCTGGACAAGGACAGCTGTCTAGTCCTTTGGATGGATCGAAAAACCAAGGTCCCATGTACACATTGGCGTGAACGTAAAAGATCTTGTGACAGTTGGAATTTGAGATAACAGTAGGCCGTAGTGCCTTTGCCCGTGCAAAATTTCCCTCATAGCACACTGTATGGCGTATGCCCGTCTTCAATAGCCCAGTTCGGAGCAGAACAGTAGGATGTTGTATACCGATGCTTTGATTTTTCAAAGAAATCGTTGATATTCTTATTGAAATGAATTTTAATAAAGCCGAAATATAAAGCCAACTATTTTGAGAGTATCAGTAGGCGGATTGTCAATGTAATGTGTTTGACTTGTTAATGAACACCTTTTTAGACAACACTGATGTTTCAAAGTTTAGAATTCAGTGTTCTTGTATTGTAAATGTATAACTTATTTTCAAAAAGACATACATGTATGCTTGAATTAGAAAAAAAAGTCAGCATGTGTGAATGAATATCCGCCAATCATAGCTATAAAAACGCACATGTACACCCGATAGTCAACCAAGAACTTTTTTTTTATGTTTTGCTTTTACCCAGTATGTTTTTAACTGCGTAATTTTAATTTTCAATAATTGTTTTACTTCAATAAATAATTAGCTTTTTTTCTTATATCTATATTTGTTAGCAAATTACACAATCATAGATACGGTTTCAGTTTAAATGTTTGTAATTCGGCCTTAAATATCTGAACTAGAGGTTTACAGCTACCTGTAGTAAAAATAATGTAGGGTCTAATTGAAAGGGTATGTGGGCGTGGGTTTATGTTTTAGTGGATAAAATCATGTGGTTTCAATGTGATTTACAAAACTACGGACAGTCCAGTCTCCATTACTTCATAGACATATTGCTCAACCAATGTCAACATATCTCCTTGCTCATCAGACTAGGCGCTCCGCCCATAATTTCTGGGTAAACACCCGCTCACCAACCCTTGCCGTCCCCTGTGACCCCATTAACGATATAAATATTGGGCTTGTGTGCTCACACATGGTCTTGTGCGTCATACAGCATCAGCAGTCAACACACACCTGAAATACTGTGACAGAAAGGGAGATAACTCTCTATTACCGTTAATGGATTTCCTAAATTCTGTTTACTAAAAAATTATCACAATTTTCATCTGGCCCTAAATCGAGTTAGTGCAAACATTTTGCTTGGAACTCTCTGGATTTGTGTTCCTGGTGTTATAAGCTTTCCAAAAATGTATAGTTTATTTGGGAGGACCATGTGGCGGAATTGTGTTTCTAAGCAAACTAGAAATTTCGACTGCAGGCCTATAGGGGACAGTTAAAATGGGACTGTCTGTCAGTCAAACTTTTTGGGACACAATAACTCTCCTTCTAAATGAGCTAGAATATTCAAACTTAGTGTAGCCACTAGCCAGTGGCCCTGCTTGATTTGTCAATACCGGCGCATACCGGCTGACCACAGTAAGGCACTTGATTTCACCGGAAGTCGACAAAAGTTCGTCTGCGGTATACGTCGAATGAACTGTTTGGCGGCAGCGGCGAACACCGGCGCAAGATGGTGAACATGTCAACGAGATAAAATTCACGTTATTTAGGAATGCCATAAAACACTAATTTTAAAGCGTTAAAATTAAACCAAATGTTTTGAAGTTGAATTTGAGCTTCGTATTACCAAAAGTTCATATGTCATTTATTTTTTCTCAGTAATATTACTACTAATAATTTTCTGCTTATTTTTTTCAAGGCACTTTCAAGTCATACTTTTAAGAATACTTTTTTTGATTAAAACATGTCATATAACCGGTTTAATATTATAACATTATCCAACGCCATATTGTTTATCAGCCGGGTCACTTGATTTGCTTCGATACGGTAACCTGACTGGCGTACGCTGTAGTAGCAACTGGCTCACCTATCGGCGGACAAATCAAGCAGGCCCAGTGTAGGTGTTTTTTGACGGAGTTCAAAGATGAGGAATTTATGTCTAAGGCTAAGCAGAGATAAGCATTTTGATTGGTTGATGCTTTGGGACCCAGTAACTTTGGTTCTAATTAAGTGAGAGTGATAAAACTCAAAGTATAGATTCATTATATCAATACCTTGACTAAGTTTGATGATGAGAATTTTCTACTTTGGGACCCAGTAACTTTGGTTCTAATTAAGTGAGAGTGATAAAACTCAAAGTATAGATTCATTATATCAATACCTTGACTAAGTTTGATGATGAGAATTTTCTACTTAGGCTAAGCAGCGATAAACAATTTGATTGGTCAAGACTTTGTAACACAACAGCTCTGCTTTTGATTGAGGTACACGTAGAATGGTTAAACTTTGTGTAGATGTTCATTAGGTGAATATCTTGACTGAGTTCAGAGATTAACATTTTCCCCTAAAGCTAAGCAGAGCTGAGCAATTTCATTGGTCAATGCTTTGGGACAAGATAACTTTGATTCTAACTTATGGAGAGTGATGAAACTTAGTATAGAGTTTCACTACCAGTTACTTCAAAACCTTGAGTGAATTCAATTGTGAACATTTTCTGCTTAGACTGAGTATAGGTAATCAGTTTAATTGCTTGATACTTTTCAGAAAGATAAATGTGCAGTAAATTGATACGGTTGTGTCATCTACTTATTTTGGGATTGCGATGGGGGGGGGGGGGGGGACATCAGCCTCATTGTTGTCTTATTATTTATGTTCTGATTTGCTTTATTCTAGTGGCAGGCCCACCATCTTTTGCAACAGCAACAGCAACAAATGATAGTGGGAGTGCATCACCAGCTGCGGGGGCTGCATCTGCTAGTACTAACGGTGCACCACAAGGAACACCTCCCGTGGATAATGAACCAATTGCACCAGGGTAAAGCATATTCATCATCCTGTTAAATAATGTATCATGTTAATTTGTTTAATTACAGGTGACTCTTTAATGTTTCCATCTATTTCAATAATTAGTTGTTGAAAATAAAACTAGTGATATATTATTTAGGTAGATTAATAGTATCATTCACTTTTTTTTTATTTTTCAGTTGGGAAACCCGCTATGATCAGCATGGAAGGCCTTATTATGTCGATCATAACACAAGAACAACAACGTGGGAAAAGCCACAACCACTTCCTCAAGGGTATAAAAATAAATTATAGTTATTTATTATTGATGATAGATTTAAAGGACACTATTGGTGTCAGTCATTATCACATATGTGATAGAGCTGGTTTAACATGTTCCAAATATAATTTTAACACAGAGATCATTGCTACGATAGATGCGTTGTTAAGATTTCAAGAAAGGAAAGTGACGAACGTACAAGGAAAACACAAGTTATCCTTTATAACTGACTGAAGTGACGGTTGATAACAGATACCCACTAATAATTCCTTCAAAGACCAAAAGTTGTTATGTGAGGCTGTCAGAAGATATCTGATAATTCAAAAAAGTAATTGAATGTCACTAGATAAAGGAAAACAAGAAAAATAGAAATAGTCCGTACATTCCCATGTTTTTATTCATTCTATACTTAATAAAAACATGGAAATGCACAGACTTTTTCTGTTTTTCTCGTTTTCTCTTATCTAGTGGCAGTCAATTATTTTTTTGAATTTCCAGATATCCTCTCACAGTCTCATATAACAGCTTTTGGTCTTCGATATTTTCCTTTAATGTACTGAACATGTGCGGAATAACAAAATTTAGAATTTGAAAGCCCATTATAATTTAGACATTACAATTATAGTCAAGTTCAGTGGGTCGGTAATTTTAAGTATTTAAATAGGTTAGATTAGAAAAAATGAATTGAGTATGATTGAAAATGATTTATGGTTATTTATTGGTGTAGATGAGAAAGAAAGGTTATTTATATTGATAAAAAGTGTTCAGGAGCATTAGTTGTTGGCTATTAATATTTAGAATTTAAGAGCCAGCTATTTAAACATTACAATCATCAATCAAAGGTAAGTTCTCTTTGTAATTTTGCGTATTTGAATAGATAGAATAGGAAAAGTGAATCAAGTGTATTTGAAAATATGTTATTTTGTGTAGATGGGAAAGAAGGGTTGACCAGAGAGGTAGAGTTTATTATGTTGATCATAATACAAGAACAACTACTTGGCAACGACCCAATGTTGAATCATTAATCAACTGGCAACAATGGCAGGAATGGAGGAATAACAGAACATTAGAAAATCTACAGCGAAGATTCCTCTTCCCACAAGCAGATGCACAAGCTCCAGATAATGATCCGTTAGGTCCATTGCCTGAAGGATGGGGTAGGATTTCTATTTTCTCTTTTGTAACATTAATGGCAATGCAGAAATGAATTTTTAAATCTTACATTATAATCTTGATCAGCCTTCCTTTAAAAATATATGAATATAATGTCATTTTGGGTGCCACAACCAGAATATCCCAGGTTTGAATCCTACCGTGGGCTGAATAACTCCTTCAGATTCTTTTATTAAGATGGGTTCCCACTTGTAAGGAGTGGTGTCTGTAGGACTGACAAGGTATAGATATATATAAAAATCCCATAGCAGTTTGACTTCATTGAAAAGTAGTCAGAAACTAGTATTGTATTGACCAGAAGTTAAACCCCATTCCATTCAATAATGTTTTTAAAGAACACCTGATGAATATGGATGCTGACATTATCCAAACTTAAGTTTAATAATCAATTCTTGATTTAACTAATAAAATGTGTTCATGTTTCAGAGAAACGAGTAGATGCTAATGCTCGAGTATATTTTGTAAATCACAAAAATAGAACAACACAATGGGAGGACCCTAGAACACAAGGGTATGTTGGATTAATTGATAATTTAATTAAAGTGCCAAAAGTTTTAGTGAAAATAGAAGAATAATATATTTTTAGAAGATTAAAATTCTATTAATAGGATATATTATATTTATATATATATATATATATATATATTATGTCTTAAATGTCATCTGCAATAGAATATCAGTCTTTGCATGAATACCCTGGCTGCAGGCATAGGTCAGAAAAATCCAAATACAGCTATGCATAATTTAGCTGCTGTATTCAAAGACTATGTCACCTACGCATTTATCTTAGAAAATGGTAGATAATTTTAGCTTTGAAGTTGTTACTAAAGTAAATATTATTATTATCTGAATCATTGATTTTGAATTGACTAATTATTTGAAATCAATAACTGTATGATTTGTTTTGCAGAATTATGCAAGAAGATCCGCTACCAGAAGGAATGGAGATGCGATATACTGCAGAAGGTGTTCGATATTTTGTTGATCATAATACTCGAACAACAACATTCCAAGATCCCAGAGGTGGCTCTTGTAAAGGGTGGGTGTTCTGATGTTTTTCCAAAAATCATGTATTTTGAATGTTAACTAAATATTTAGAATTGTTCTTGTATCAATGGGCTTCAGTGAAATGATGTTGAAATAGACAATGTAGTTAAACAACTTTCTCAGTAGTGTCGCACAATGTCAATGTTATTTTGATACATTTTAATATGTAATTTAGGCTAGATAGTCATCAAACCGTTTTATTGTTTTCCTTTATTATAGAGCTACAGTTTTATAGTTCAATATTCAATTTTTTTGTTGAATAATTGACAGTGAATCTGCTAAATGCTGACAATTAGCTGAATGCTAATTATATCCCTGTTCTTTAAAAATGAGTGATATATAAATGTAGATTTCTGTAATGGATAAAGCATGAGTCTGAGGTTATGCTGGAAAAAGAAAAACCCGAAGATGACAGAAAAACAGAGGGTTTCTTTTTGAGGTCTTTCTGACCTAGCATAACCCCAGACTTGTGCTTTATCTAACTTATAAACTGTTTGAGACACACACGAAATTGAACTTTGATGAAAGAAAAATAACAAATTTTGCTCCTATAGACCAAGAGTTAAATATAAGTCAAACCCTGTAAAAGATAGTATTTTAATTTTAGTTATTTGGGATATGGATAAGCCATTTAGACCAAAATATTATTTCATTCCCATTCTTCCTCATCGAGCATTTTTAATGCAAATTTATTTGATTTGATTCTACGTTTGTTTATAATATACTATTCAAAAAAAGTAGGGGATATTTGATTTTTAAGTGTTATTAAAGTCGCCTAATGAAACTGACGAAGAAACAAATGACAAAATGAAATGAAGTTCACATTCATCGATTTATTCCAAATGATCGTTAGACTAAGTAAGGCACAGACTGACCATTATAAGGGTAAAATGATACCCGGGGTCAAACAGCAAAGTTACCACAGCACCACAACCAAGTCAGTAACGGGTAAATCCTCCTCTGTTTGCCAAACAAGCATTGATCCGACGTGGCATACTCCTAATGAGACGTCTAAGGTCATTTTGGTCCAGATTGTCCCATTCCTGTTGCAACGCAGCAGCAAGTTCTTGGACATTGGCAGGACGTTGTTGACGTTGACGTAACCTCTGTCCAAGCATGTCCCAGACATGCTCGATGGGGGAGAGGTCGGGACTCAGTGCTGGCCAAGGTAATGTGGTGATGTTCTGTTGTTGGAGGTAACCTGTAACGATCCTGGCCCTGTGACATCTTGCGTTGTCATCCTGGAAGATGAAATGGCGGCCATGACGTCGTGCGAACGGCACAACATGGACTGCCAAGATGTTGTCCCGGTAGTACTGGCCTGTAACACGCCCTGCAACAACATGTAAAGCTGTTCTTCCAGCAACAGTGATGCCTCCCCACACCATAACAGAACCACCCCCAAATCGATCATGTCTGATGATGTTAACGTCTTGGAAGCGATCGTTTCGACGACGCCACCCCCTCCTACGTCTGTCCAAAAAATCAACAGTGAACCTTGACTCATCTGAAAACATCACATTGCTCCAGCGTCGATTATCCCAGTGTTGACGATCCCTACACCAACGACGTCTTGCCTGAATGTGATGATCTCTCAAACAAGGGATCACGCGAGGACGTCGGGCGCGAAGGTGACCCCTATGCAGTCGATTCCGAATCGTCTGGCCACTCACTCTCACACCAGTGTCTGTTTGAAGACGAGCGCTGATCTGATTTGCTGTGATGACACGATTTCTCAAGGCCAAGGTACGGATAAATCGATCCTGGGCTTGAGTTGTCGCCCTTGGTCGACCTGAGCGTGGTCTGTCCTGTACAGATTGTGTATCACGGTATCTGGACCATAGCCTGCTTATGACAGACTGAGAAACATTCATCGTCCGCGCCACAACCGCCTGTGTTGTGCCGATCTGTAGCATGCCAAGGGCACGTAACCTTTCATTTTGGGTAAGCCGACGCATATCAAAATTTGTTTTCTGGTCACTAAAACAATTAAACTGATGTTTCCACCCTGGAATTCAATGCCACAATGACTGTAACATTCAAAGTCAGAGTCGTGCAAATCTTGGGTTGGACCCCCATGATGATCCCAAGCATCACCTGCATTCCATGCAGTAGCTATTGGTGCATTTGGGCGTCACATGTAACTGGAAATGTTTCTTCTGTTAGGTTCTATAGTGACTTTTTTCGTAGTCATTTGCATATTTTAGTATTATGCCCCCAAAATCAAATTTCCCCTACTTTTTTTGAATAGTATATAAAAGATTACTGGCGTGGAACTGCACAGAAATGTTGTCATCTAAGTTATATCCATTCAGTTTCAACGCAACAAAAGTGTCCTGCACTTGCAGATATTGCCTTAATTATAGTAACACCCATCGTCAGTGACAGTGAATTGTAATCAGTGCGGTGTGTTGGATGTGTGAAGTTCAGTATAGTTCATTCAAAAGATCAAAGCGATTTACTGTTGTTACAGATTTATAAGTTGAAGAAATCAATGTTAACTTATTTTCTTTATCCTAGACACCAGTATTAAAATTCAACATAATCTGACTAATGCATTTTAATTTCAGTCCTAAAGGAGCATATGGTGTATCTATTCAGTATGAACGTAGTTTTGTTTGGAAACTAGGACAGTTTAGATATTTATGTCACTCCAATTCTTTGCCTGGCCATGTTAAAATTACCGTTGCTAGGGATAATATGTTTGAAGATTCTTTTGCACAGGTGAGTTGTAGTGTTATAAATGATTTGTTTGCAACATGATGTTATAATAAACGTTTTGTTGTTACAGTTTACAGGCAATTGTGTGTAGTCGTTTGTTTGGATAAAAATAGAATTATTTGGTAAAAATTTATAATTCAATATTTTGAATTGTCTGTGTTTTAACTGTCGCACTAGTTGAAACTGTATCATATGTGATTGTGAATCTAGGATCTGTTTGTGAACTAAAAAAAACAACCAAAACACCATGGTGTATCTAGTTGATATTGACTAATACTCGATTCCCTATTTAGATTATGAGGTTAAAACCATTTGATCTGAGAAGAAGATTATACATGATATTTAAAGGTGAAGAGGGATTAGATTATGGTGGATTAGCTAGGTATGTTTCATGTAATTTAAAATTTGTCATTCTGTTATTTACTATGATAAGACAAAGAAATTTTTGCTTACAAATTAATCAATCTGATTAAAACAGATCCTATTTCGTTTCGTTTTTTAATAGTTCAAAATCCTACTACACTAGGATCTTGATGAGTTGTTATAATACAGGCATTCTGATTGAAGTGAAGGATTAGCCAATGAAACGGTCTGTTATATTGAGTTCTTGGCATGCGATGCACGGAACTGTGGGTAAATGACTAGAAATGTCGACGCTGATTAATCAATGTCTGACGTCATAATTTCAAAAGCCACTTGTACGACCCCTGACACAACCTTCCAGTACAACCGGTCATATCTTCATGTAGTGTAGGCCATTGAAAGTATAAAAAAAACGAAACGAAATATAGATCTGTATTTTAATCAGATTGCAAATTAATTTTAACACAGGTATATGCATTGTTTATACGGAGATTATTCTGTGGCATTGTTTAAAAAAACCAAAAAACCCCAATAGATTATGGTAACCATAATCAATGTTGTTGATTACGTAATAATTTGTATTTTGTACTGTGGTCTGCTGGTAATGATAAATATGAAATAAAAACATGGTGTCATTCATTCATTTAACCAACTAACTGCGATACAGTGGATTCTATTGAATTAAATAGTTGATGTGTTACATTGATTTTGTGATGCATGTGGGTTTTCTGTTATGTTGTATAATTTTATTTTTTGTATATTTGTTTTTCAGAGAATGGTTTTTCCACCTGTCTCATGATGTATTGAATCCTATGTATTGTTTATTTGAGTATGCTAGTAACAGTAATTATAGTTTACAGATTAATCCAGCCTCTAGTGTTAATCCTGATCATTTACTTTACTTCCGCTTTATTGGCCGATTTATTGCCATGGTAAGTGACTGGTTATTTTTATAGTTTTAATATTACTACTACTCATTCATTCTCACTCTGAACTGTACAAAGCATGGTAACCTATGTTGCATTCAGGAGAAAATAATGTTTCAATGTTTTAATCAGAGATACATGTTCTCATTTTGGTGAGAACTTCTCATATCAGTGAGAAATCTTGTCGAAATCGACATAGCAATTCTTGCCTTTCTTCTTACATACAGTTGATTAAAATGACAGCCCATTCCTTATGAATATAGTCATTTGATAGTTCTTTAAATAGCTACTTCTGGTCGTGCATACTAGTAAGCCTCATTTTCTCCAGTAGTCATAAACACAGCATTATTCTGTCAAAGTTAAAGACATCCTGATTAGCTTTTCTTCATTCATCCAGGTTATAAGTATGGTTTGATTAAACGACTGAGGAAACTTTATATTGGATTTTTAAAAACTGCCTTACTAAATTTTTTTATCTTTTATGTCAAACTTGATTTAACCCAGATTCCAACCAAACTTATGAAGGCTTAATTTACAAATTGAGTATTGGAAAACTTTTATGAAATATTTTATGTCTGTCATGGGATGTATTTTATTGATTTTCAGGCTTTGTATCATGGTAAATTTATTGACAGTGGTTTTACACTGCCTTTCTATAAAAGAATGTTGAGTAAAAAACTAACCATAAAAGATTTAGAATCTATAGATCCAGAATTTTACACATCTTTAACATGGATCAAGTAAGTCTTTTATAATTACAGATCTGTAACCCAACCAGAATACATTCTTTTATAATACACTGTAATTGGAGTATCATTTAATCTTGTGTATTTAGCCCTAATTTCTTTCACATTCATTCAATATCAAATCCTTGTTTAAAAATTTGTAAAAATCATTTAAAATCACCGAAATTCATTTAATTTGTACTTGTGTCCAGCTTAAAGCAGACCATTCAATTTTGATAATGAGTGTCCAATTTACAAGAATTTAATTTTTCGATCACTGTTAAAAAAATAAACAACCCAATTGATTATTGATGCATGATGATTAATTTTTTAACTGGTCACTAAATTAAATACTTGTTAATTAGACACTCATTATCAAAATTAATCAGTCAGCCTTAAACTGGACACAAGTACAAATTAGAAGATTTTGGGTGATTTGAAATGATTTTTACAACTTTTTAAACAAAGATTTGATATTAAACGAATGTAAAAGAAATTAGTGCTAGATACACAAGATTAAATGATACCCGGATTACAGTGATAGCATATTGATTTTTATACGCCCACATTGAAATGTGGTCGTATATTGTCGTTGCCCCCATCCGCCTGTCTGTCCATCCGGCGTCCACAAGCAATTTAGCTCTAGAGGCTAAAGTTAAACATGCATTATGCAAGAGTAAAATCTGCTTATTACAAGTCTTTCTTTAGGCCTGAAATGTTATCTAAATTATCAATTAGACATTAATTGACTTATCCAGACCGTAATAAACTCTCGATGTCAAGGCTAGCCTTCGATGTTGTTTGGATTAGATTCCTATATGCCGCTAACGGCCAGTGATAATTAAATCAAAAAAAGTGGATAATCGAGACTATAAAGTTTATATTAATGATTTTAGTAATGATGACCGAGACTATGCAAAAATTTCACCCGCTTCTTTCTCGGCTCATAGTGGAATCAATTTGACTGAAATTTTCAGCAAATTACCTTTACACTATCTAGTTTTTAACTATTATAGCGAGAACTGCCATCTCTTTATCTTATCTCCCATAATGTATCTTTAATATTTGATTGAATTTAAATTTATACACAGTGTTTAAGATCATGTGACGAAGAAACCTATTGATTTTCCAATAATTACTGCTAGAGTTATGGCTCTTGATGGGTTGTTATTCATTGGTTGTTATTCCTGATCTATTTTTAATGTTTTGTAAATTCTCCCATTACCTACAAAAGAATAAATATGCGACAACCTTTGTGGGCTGCTCGGATGACTTAGCTTCTGTGGGTGTATTGTTTGTTTCCTGGCAACCTATCTTTAGACCATTTTATAATATGATGAAATTGATTCTGTTTTTCACAGAGATAATAATATAGAGGAATGTGGTCTGGAGCTTTATTTTGCCTGTGATTTTGAGATTCTGGGTAAAATAGATCAACATGAATTAAAACCGGGTGGAGCAGATATCAAAGTTACAGATGAAAACAAAGAAGAATATATTAAGTTAGTATTGTATAAGATATAAATTTCAATTGATGGGCAAGGCAGTTTGTCTTTTGTTTTAAAATGTTGCTTATTGTAGTGCTGTTCAACTGTTCTATTGATATGAAGGTTATAACATAGTATAGATATAAAATTGAACGCTGTTTAAAACCAGATAATTATTTGATGTTTTTAGTTTAATGACCAACTGGAGATTTACCAGAGGTGTAGAAGAACAGACTAAAGCTTACCTGGAAGGATTTAATGAAGTTGTACCATTGCAGTGGTTACAATATTTTGATGAAAGAGAGCTCGAGGTAAGGAAGACTTAATATCTACTTAAGATTGAGGTGCATCATACCACAAATTCTTTATAAGACATGTTCAACGAGACTGTCATAAAGGACAATTTCTCATTGGTTCCAGTAATTGATGCCCGAATTCATGAAAGAACTACAAATTATGGGAACTCCATCGTCATCACTAGTTGATCTTTTGTTTCAAGAGGCTAACATCTGAATTAACATTGTTCACGTTTCGGATGTTACCAAATTGATTTGTGTAATTTTAATGAGGCTTTAAACATTGTTTTACTTTTATTTTATAGTTGATGTTATGTGGAATGCAGGAAATAGATGTTGATGATTGGGAGAAGAACACTAAATACAGACATTATCAACGTAACAGTAAACAGATTGTTTGGTTCTGGAAGGTAAACAATTACTTTAATTTAATATATATAGGTAATTGATTAGTATTAGAAGTTGACATTCTTACTGTACGTGGATATTTTTGTCAAAGTTGTGTCAATGAGATTTATCAGATGGTAGGTATACCAACACTTGAACTAGGAATTGAATAGCTTCAATCTGAAATAGAAGTATTGAAGTTGAATCTGGATAGTATTGTGTCAAGAATAAATAAACAAATCTAACAAAACATTGGTATTGTATATATTGGTTAAAATGTATTTCAGTTTGTACGAGAGATTGATAATGAGAAGAGAACTAGATTATTACAGTTTGTTACTGGTACCTGTCGTCTACCTGTTGGTGGATTTGCTGAACTCATGGGTAAGATAAAACACATCGAGTTAACAACCTTATATTGTATGGCCAAGGATTTCAAAGCATTGTAAAGTGAATCCGAGATCTATCATTAATATAGTTGTGGCTTTGATTAAAGAGTGAGGAGCGACCAGGGTAGGGCCATCTTCTTAATCTTTAGGACATTCTTCAGGACATTCTTCAGATTCTCCCGTTCACATTAAATGTGAAAAGTCAAATATAGATCTGTTAGTTCTGAAACCATATATTTGTGTGGAGTAATGTTAATTTCCATCGAAATGGGATTGCTCTAATATTTATCTGAGAAAATGACTGGCCAACCGTTATATTATGCGTTCCTGAGCTATTTAACATAAGACAAACTTTTTTCTATTTAAAAGTTTATATCAAGCTGCACTTATCACGATACAGACCTTGATCACATGGTGTATCGTAGATTTAATAAATATCATGTTTTATCGATAAGTTGTTGCAACCCTAGTTTCATTACATCAATACCTTGACTAAGTTTGATAATGATCATTTCTACTCAGTTTAATAAGCAGAGTGATAAACAATTTGATTGCTAGATGCTTTATAAAAAGATAATTGTGCAAGTGATTAATGTCATCTATTTATTTTGGGATTGGGATGTATCATTTTGAAAAATCTTGTGGATGTCCTTACAGGCTATTAATGTAACATCTGATTGAACTGAAATTTACTTGGCTGCTGTTGGTATATGTTTGGTTGCATGGCAATCTATTTTTATATACCAGTATGAGCAGTTGTCACAGAAAATGTAGAATTTTGTTTGATTTGGTGATTAATTGTATTTTACAGGGAGTAACGGACCTCAGTGTTTTTGCATAGAAAAGGTTGGAAAGGAAACCTGGCTTCCGAGAAGTCATACCTGTTTTAATCGACTTGATCTCCCACCATTCCGTAGCTACGAGCAATTGGTTGAAAAACTCACTTATGCTATTGAGGAAACAGAGGGCTTTGGACAAGAGTAGATAACTCTTACTGGGTAGAAATCGTACTTTTACCTCCCATTCATTGTGCTAAACTATACAAGATATGTGATATTTAAGGATAGAGACAATCCTTGTCTGGTTCCATTAGTGAGTTATTAGTGGTAGACTGTAATATCTGTGATTTTATATAGAGATAAATTAAATGTTAAAAAAAAAGCTCTAATTCTATCACTGATTGTTTATTGGATAATATTTAATATATAACTATGCATAGACTGATTACTTTATCGCATTCATTCTTTTGAAGCAATCTTTTATAAACACCAATATCCATTTTCTTGAAACTTGACCATGTAAAATTAGAGATTAGTACTACATGTGTCGAGCTTCACACTGATGTTGAAGTTCACATACTAAAGTCATATAGCTTGATGCTTATACTCTTTTACCTCGACCCAACTGCTGAACGGACTCGCAATAGGAGTGCTTGTTTGTTGGCCCAGAATATTCTGAAGTGAATTGCAATCCAGTGTAACATAAGTTTGTCCTGCCTCAGCATGATCAGTCTTGGTAAAAGATGTGTGTGCGTAGAACCAGGACATATATATATCAGTTATGATGATTGGTTGGGATAGCTTCTCGATGTCTGGAATTCTCTTGTTTCCTCAATATTCACTGTGGGAGCTAGAGAATTAAATTCTTGAAGGATCAATCAAGTATCGCTCACAAAGCAGTTTAAAGCCTTGCTAACCGCAACCTTAAAACAGGATGTGCTATAGGACTCATAGCGTAGTTGCTTCTCTTACCCGGTCAAAGTTCAATAAGAAGACTATTGCACTCCATTAAAACATTAGTATCAACAGGTATATATAGACATTTTATATAGGTATCTTTTATATTTATACTATTTTATTTAGTTATGTATATAATTAAAACAAATATAAGTAATTAAGTAAATTTTCTTGTGAAAATCATTCAGCTACATATTTCTTCAACATTAATCATTTTCTTCAGACTGAACATGCATTTAAATTACACTCTCTGAACGTGTCATGAATTAGTTTTTGTGACAGCAGTACAAGTATGTCATCAAGGTGTTGGAAAATCTATGTACACATGTCTGTTTAGCATCATGCATGTGTATAATGCCATTATAATGTGTAAGCTTTGTTTGGCAAAATATGGTTATAGTGGCCTTTTGATCTTATTCTGTAATAGAAAACCAATTGTCAAAGGTTTTTTTTTACCACATTATCTGATTGATTATGGTTATTTAATGTTTTGTGGAATACTAACAAATTGAAACAATAAATATATGTTAAGCTTGTCAATCAATGAATCAAACTATACTGGTTATATAATGAAATCTGTTGTATGTACATTTCTATTTGTTGAACTCTATCTCTTCAATGTTATAACTGTTATAGTCATTGTAATATTATAGAGATATCATATTAATATATTGTACATAAAGTAATGAATTATTTTTTGATGACTAGCCGTGTAGATAAGTAAACTAATGTATGTAAAACAACAGGTAGATATAGAAGTCAGTTGTTTTATACAGTTATTATAGTAGATTTTTATATTAGAAAATATCACGTCAATTTATACTTATTCTATATAAAGATATGTAAACTTCATATGTATTAATAAAAATGTAGTAAAAGATTAATAGGTGATAAAAAAAAAATTACAAAATATATGACAGCAAATATCTTGTGATGTCATTATATCCCAGAAAAAGTTTACTGAATTTGTGAAATAATATTGCAAAAAAAATACACATCTGTTTAATTTAGATTTGTAAAAACAAAAATAGAATAAAGTAGATAATGGGCACATAAAAAGATATATTAAAATTTTGATTGTACCAAATTATGATAATTAGTGCAAATATATACAGAAATTTAAACATGCTTTACAACTTTCATGTATAATGATGATTTCACAAGCTAGTTGACATCACAATTTTTGTCTATTATTAGTAACTCATTTATCACATATTCAAAGATTGCTCTATAACTATAACACGAGGTACCCAAACAAAACATTGTTATAACTAGTGTTTAAAAAATGGACTAATTGACTAAAAGGTTTTTAATTTCTGAATACTAACACAAAAAATCATTCAAATGTATTATAGCCGAAATTGTTCTTTTATATCTTTGGTTGATATATAACAGTATATATTATTTGGTGTTTTATATATTATAGTTACAGATATCAACTCATTTGATTTTATTCAGTTTTTGTGCAATTTAATAGCGTTGGTGAATGGTGCTTGTTTATCTATGTTAAGGCATATCGGTTAATTCATTAAGATTATAATGGAATAATAAAACAGTACAAATTATCTCAATCATAATCACTAAATGTGTTGAATAGCCTAAACCATTCAATTGTTTCAGCTAGGTAAAAATGTTAACATAAAAGGAGTCAAATGAAACTTTGCACATCTTCAGGGATGAAATATTAATTGTTAGTACTTCTGATTAAAACTTTGAGAAAGACATATGGCCATCCTCACATTATGCTTATGTTAGGAGAGATTCCATATTCTTGAGCACATGGAAAATATTATTAGAATGTATATCTTCACAGCACTTAGATTTCAATCAAATTTTAGTGACCACTATGGTTTGTCTTTGACTTGTTGATGTATTAAAAATTTCTAATAGTGAATAATTTGTGTATTTAAGACCTAAGACTGTGCTTTGTTGAGCTTTTTTTAAAATTGTGTATAATAACTTGTAAATAGAATATATTTATGAAAGATTCATTTCTTTCAAAGATAATATGTTATTGTAGACTATGTACAAAATTAACTAGCTTACTTTTGAATGATTTTTTTTTTTTTTTTTTTAAAAAGAGGGAATTGTGTCAATTATTTTAACATGTCATCCATACCCTTCTTGTTAGCCCTAATTTAATCCTTATTAGTTGGTAATTTTATTTAGTTCATATATAAGATGTATTATATAAAAGTTGTTTTTGTGAATATGTTTGTACAAATTATTAAGACAACACTGGATAAATGGAAAATTGTGCAGTGAAATAAACTATGCCATTAAATAGCCAATTACTGGGTTATGTTCTTTTAAAAAACATGAATTGTGGAGTTATTCCCCCTGTCAAATTTAACAGAATCGACTCATTGCAGACCCGCGAAGATTACCTAGACCACCAAATTGTCCCTCTTATGGTTAACATGTAGTGCCTTCAAGTGCTTTTTCACCCTTACCCTCACGATGATTTGTATTGAATCGAAGAAAATGGTTTACATTTACACTTTATTATCTTGCAGGCTATAGTTAATTTCTGGCAAATATCCCATACCCTAAACATTAACATATTATGGCATTACTTCCTCCGTTTTTATACGCCCACATTGAAATGTGGTCGTATATTGTTGTCGTCCCCATCCGTCGGTCCGGCGTCCACAATTGCTTGTGGACGCTCTATAGGCTAAAGTTAATATCCGATTGACTTTAAATTTATACACAGTGTTTAAGGTCATGAGACGAAGAAGCCTATTTTCAGCGATTTTCGATAATTACTGCCAGAGTTATGACCCTTGATCACTTCAAAAAATCTTGTGGACGTTCTAGAGGTCAAAGCTAATATCCGATTGACTTTAAATTTATACACAGTGTTTAAGGTCATGAGGCGAAGAAGCCTATTGATTTTCAGCGATTTCCGATAATTACTGTCGGAGTTATGGCCCTTGATCACCTTGAAAAATATTGTGGACGCTCTAGAGGCTAAAGTTAATATCCGATTGACTTTAAATTTATACACAGTGTTTAAGGTCATGAGACGAAGAAGTCTATTGATTTTCAGCTATTTCCGATAATTACTGCCAGATTTATGGTCCTTGATCACTTTGAAAAATATTGTGGACGCTCTAGAGGCTAAAGTTACCATCCGATTGACTTCAGATTGATACACAGAGTTAAGGTCTTGAGACGAACAAGTATATTGATTTTCAATGAATCTTTATGACTTGAACAGCTAAATCCATGAAGTTAAAAGTTTCGTATACTAAACGTTAGCATGGTGCAGACCTTTATAAAAACCAAACAAATTCTAATGGTTTTCTGATAATTACTTAATGAGTTGTTACTCTTAATCAGATTTTAATGTATTATAAATGTTTCATTACCGAAAAAAGTAAAACTATGCGACAACTCTTGTTGACTGCCCGGAGGATATAGCTGCTGTGGGCGTATGTTTCGTTGCCTGGCAACCTATCTTTTTAAAGGCAGTGGCTAGTGTTACGACGAGTCGTAAAAATATTCCTCAGGCTATTGTTACGACGATGCTTTCAGAGCCCTCCATCGGCGAAGTTAAAAACTGAATAGTCGTAAATATTGTCCTGTGGCTATTGTTACGACCATCGATTTCTATTACTCCTCTGAATCGATGGATTTCAACTTCACTACAGGCCCGGATCCAGTGCCGTGCCCCCATTCCCTCTCAGCCCACGCCACTAATGTGAACCACTAATGCTAGGGCACTCTGATGATTACCCTTTGCTCCAATGTATCCCCCCCCCCTCTCGACAAAATCTTGTATCCGGGCCTAACCCCAACCCTAAACGTTGCCGATGGAGGGCTCTGAAAGCATCGTTGTAACAATGGCCTAAGGACTATTTTTACTTTAAATGGCCAAATTGTTTAATTCCCTCTTCGGTACCGTATGTGACAATCTCAAGAGTCGTCGAATTGTTCCCTTAGGTCTAACGCTAAGTTATGCCTACTTGAGAGTCAGTGATTTGCCGGTCATGCTAAAAATCGTCTTAATTGGTATCAATCTGATATTTATCACCCAATAATACATTCTACAGTAGATGTCGCTTGTGTGATAAATTTCATAATCTACTGCGATATCTCCTTAGGTTACATGAATTTGATTGGTCAGTTAAAAAGGAACTACTTTTCTTTTATTTTCAAAGAACAGTTCATTTTTTTATTAAAAGTAACTTCTTTTTTTTTTTTATTAAAAATGAACTATTTTTATTTAATTGATCTTGATGGAAACACTGGATCAATATAAAGGACTTTGCAATGGTTGAATTGCTGTCAAAAATGATGTATCGCTACGCCGTTATGTAATCAGGTTCAGTAAAAGTGAAATCTATAGCAAAGAATTATATTTATTTATTTGTGCATATAAGAAAGGATTGGGTGATAAATAAAATCTCCTACTCGTCTTTTTTTTATATCAAATAAGACTCGTAAGAGATTCTCTATACATGTATCTCCAAATCTAGAAAAAAAGCCATGTTATTCCGTGTAATGTCACGTCACCTATCTAATGTAAAGTAATGCAATACATGCAACGTATAATGTCCATCTACATGCCACTGTTATTTCTTTTGATTATGGATGGATGGCTGCATGTGTAATAGGCCCATGAAATATTTTGGCCTAGGGCCGTACAAAACCGTAATCCGACCCTGGTTGTCACACAATCTGCTTGAATTTTATATGCATTGTTCAGACTTGTGAAACGAAGAATTCTATTAGCAAATCTCAACTACTTCTGATAATTACTTATACAGTTATTGCCCTTGATTATGTCATAGAATGGTATTATACGGTATCAAGATTTTGCGTTTTAATTACCCAAACCATTAACGGTACTGGCGACAGTGCTAGTGTGGGTGTATATGTTTCGTTGCTTGACAACCGATCTTTTCGTAGTGAAGGGAAAGATAACCACGATATTTGATCAACAAAAATCCATTGATAGCTTTTGAGTAGAATGAAATTAGAGTTGTAATTGATATTACGTTAGATCAATATACCGATATGAATATAGGCCTACCTTTCTCGAGTTTTAAAAATCAATTATTTATTTGGATTTTATGAAAACACAAAATTCATCAAAAAAGAGACTAAAGCTATAATTAACAACCTTCTGGGTCTAAAATGATTTTTCTCCCTTTCACCTAGAGCTAACCATCTTCACTAAAAAAATACCCGAGATGGTTTCTTTTGAATTCCTATTGTTCTTTCCCGACACCACGGGATTTTCTCTCAAAAAGTTCAGCATTATCTCAGTTCCAAATTAAGATCTTTACATCCAATGTAATGGTATATTGAAAATAGCTGCCAAGACTCAACTATGACTTTCTGTCAGTGGGATAGATAAGGATCGGATTGGCATGGGTTTTATACAAATCTTATTGAAGTAGATTTTGAAGCTCTTTTATATTCTTAGTTTTATATTGGTTAAATTGCCTCGTGCTCTAAGCGTCATTGTGGAATGTCACTTGCGGTGTAATAACATCTCTTAAGAGTATGGGCACCATTCTCATAAATGTACATATCAACTATGGATGAAGAAAACACTTCAGTGACATAAGAAGCAATTGGCGGATAATAATGATAGCCACCAATACGGTTCTCGCACTTCAGAACACTTAATTTGAAGACGCCGAGAACCCTTAAATTCGTCGTCTTTCAAACATTGTCTTGATTTTGTTTGAAGCGATTGTACCAAGTCGATAAAATCAACAGGAAAAAAACAAATAACCCTGGCACTTGCCATAAAATAGTCGTCGATCACTGTAGAATGACAGGAGAAAAGAGTACCCAAGAGATTTCCTTACAAATATTATAACTAAAGTGATAGCCAGAGCTTTATGGAGGCTTTCACGGAGCTTCCAGTAGGCTGTTATTCTTTAATTAATCTCATCAAACAAAATTGATTTTTCCGTCATTTCACCATGGGCGAAATTTAAAGAACATCTATCTTTTCAAAGTGACTCTTTCACTCCAAATCCATAAGAATTAGCCAATGTATATAGACATACTTCTGGACAATGGTAAAACAGGTTTAATTTCCGCAGTCTATAAATGTGTGACACAGAATGCAAAAATAGCTTTAACCGTCTCATTGTATTACTTATATATTAATGATTTTATATAAAAACATCCATCACGCTATCTATAAATAAAGTGGCTATCTATGTCTTCATAATTAATCATGTAAAGTCGAATAATGGAAAATTGTTTTAAGCAATATTATAAGTTTGACCAAAAGTAAATTTTATTTCCTATACTTTATAGGCTATACCTTTTTAGATAATATATCCTGCTTGATATCTGGATTTTAATCTCCATACTGTTTTATATGGAAGCGTATAGGGGTCAGTAGCGCGATAGATACCGTAATATTAAGTTGGTAATATGTCAACATATTGTGATTGTTCAGATGATTTTATCTCTGAAAAGACAATTTTTGCAGAGTTAACTGAATCACCCGCTATGTTGTAAATCATCATTTCGTATCTATTGCGCTATTGACTCTTCCTGTGGAAGCGTATAGGGGCGAATAGCGCGATGAATAACGCAATATTAAGTTGGTAATATGTTAACATATTGTGATTGTTCTGATGATTTTATCTCTGAAAAGACAATTTTTGTCGAGTTGAATGAGCAACGCGCTATGTTATATTTCTCCATTTCGATTTAAATGTGCCCGTTTGCGTTAAGATATTGCTATTCTGAAGCTTTGTCGACATATTCCATTTCGTCGTAGTATATGTCGACATTTTCGCGAAATATTGCCATGCGCTATGTCAGCGTGTGCATTTAAAACGAAATGACGACATACAACAGAGATAAAATCTTCAAAAGAATTACAATATGTTAACATATTACCAACTTAATATTGCGGTATTTATCGCGCTATTGACCCCTATACGCTTCCATACTTAGAAACTTCTATAGTTTTAAAGGCATGTTAAACTATATCTTTTGTTACGATACCAACAAATCGCTTCTTCCATCTTTACATAAGTGTGAAAAGTATGCATCTATGGCAAGGATTGGGGGCATTTGTGTGGAACTTTTCACCACAAGAGTTCCACAAGATATTGGGTTTCTGAAAATAAATACATTCCACAAGACTTTCGGCTTAAAATAATATTCATAGAGTGTTTTGGGTCTGTGGTGTACAAGAGTTCCACAAGATATTGGACATAGAAAAAATATCAATTTTTTCAAATATTTCTTCTCAGACCTCCCTATATGCCTGTGTCGTACCACATTGCACAAGATTTTCGACTTA